TTGTGTCTACCATGGTTTTTGTCTGAAAATGCTTACCTGCTCTGCCCAACCCTCTGTTTTACAGCCTGAGTGATCAAAGGTGTCCAGTGGTTTCTCAGAATAAATTAGCCCAAGCAAATTCAGCATGGTGGTCTTCAATCCTGAGTTAACCTGGATATACACATTGCATTAGGGTAGTCATAATAATATGTGGACCATAATAAAAGAGCCATTGCTGCCTCACCTTCATGTTGGTCCCAGATGCATCAAGCTTCATGAGCTTTGGGAGGCACGTGATGTATCTGAGAGCCCTGTCTGAGAGTGGATTGTCTGCACATAGAAGATAAATATAATTCTTTATTTGCTTTAAATTTAGTAGTGGTAGAATGTGTGCCATATGGAAAACACTAACAGGAAACATCCAGGACTTGAAGGCAGTCCAGTCCTCGTTGCATCATCCGAATAGGGGCTGTGAGTCTTTGCAGGCCAGCATCCGACAGACTGTTGCCACCGATGAAAAGCTGGATGAGACTGCTATGGGGCAAAGACAGAGCTGTTAAATCTCTCCTGAATGTATCCTCCCCTTATTCTATGGAGAGAACCACCTTGTAGTTGAATGTTAAATCCTCTTTTTGTAAGTTGCTTTGGATAAAAGCATCTGCTAACTGCAGAAATGTAAATGTACCTTGCCAGGGAGGCAGATGTTAAATGCTGGAACAGCTCATGGTCATCGCCCAGTCTGCAGCCAAACAAATCCAAAGACTTCAAACTGTGAAATGTTTTGATCTCATCCATCCGTTCATGTAAGAGAGGAAACCTGCAGAAATGAAAAAGGCACAAGAAATGCTGTAAGTTTATCACCCCCCCCCAAAAAAAACAGAGGGAAATTATGAATAAGGCAAAACATACCAACCTATTTCTTAGACAGAGAGATCTAAGCACCATTTCACCATATGCATCACTGAATAACTTGAGAGCTTTTGGAGAAATGTCTGGGTTTAAAAATACACGATTCTCCTCTGCTGCCACAAAAAGTCTATCGCCTATTTGATCTGGGAAGCCTACCAGAGAGTCCACATGGTGGATGTTGTCAGCAACAAACAACAGAGTGATGTCAAAAAGAGATTTTGAGGTGTATCTCAGACTTCCTTCTTCATTGTAGGTGAAAACAAAATGCTCCCTCCTCAGCACAAATGGATTCGTCCTCCTGCATGATGAGGCTGGTTTAGGTTGTGCCAGGACTATGTCACCGACACGACGAAGGCTGCCTTTTTCTCGGACATAAATTGTGCTGTTGTCCATTACAAAAGTTTAATCGGCTAACACCTCAAGCATAAAAAAACCCTGCTCGCTAATTGAGGTCGTTAGCTTAACTGCAACCTCGAATAACATCAAACACGAACGTTTAATTTGACCTCATACTACCTGCCTGGATTCTGATGTCATGCTAAAAAAAATTGCCAATTTCTTTACGACATACGTGTGTTTTAATCAAACACCTCGAGCTCCCCTTAGTAGCCCACAGTACACGCACCGAGCTTCAATGCTAACTTCAACTTAAAGGTCTAATATTAATTTCTGCTTGTTTCGTGAATTATAAACATTTTATAAGTATCAACTATTTGATTAAGACGAATATGTACATGGATTATAAATATTTCTGGCGAGTAACATCAAATATACGTCGAATTTAGAATAATGAAACCCCTTACTTTGGCAATGTAAACCGGAAGAGGTCTTGTTTACATTGATGTGACGTTTTCTCTATAGCTTACTAAGCTAACTGGAATGGAGTAGTTTTTATGTTTTTTAATCGATAATTTGGTAAGCATTCACGTGAAAAGGAGAGATGTCAGTTTGACTGCCAAGAATACGACCAATATTTTCAGTATTTTTAGGAATGTTAACCGAATGATAAAAACAGTAACTGCCTCAGTTGTGATTTAGCGTCGAAGTTAGAACTTTGTAGCTAACTTAGCTTACTGAGAGTTTCCTTATTATTCATGTCGTAAAGTTTTTTTCAGCATGTAAATCTATAGAAACCTTTAAATGTATTGTTCATTCTTTTCCAGTTTCTTGAGACGGGCCTGTTGGTTCTGTGAGATACTAAAGCTTCCAATAAATTCTGCATTGGCAAACATCATTACTGAATCTGAATGGCGTCCAACAACGAAGATCCATTTCAATTTCGGGGTAAGTGTCGTTAACAGCTTTTGTGTTACATTGACCTTAAATGTATTGTACTTCTGATCAAAATAGAATATGTAAATTTGAACATTTTTGGAACTAATGTTGCCTTTTTTTATTTTGTCTTTCCTTTCGCAAATGAAATATATTAGAATTTGATGAAGCTGGCATTCTCTTGGAAGCCAACAAAGATGCAGTCACTATAAGCATTGAGGATGAAGATCTAATGTCCAAGAGGCAACGAAATGCTGGTTTAACGCCAGATGTTGACGAGGAAGAGTCCCTCAACACTGATGACAAGTCGTCGGTAAGGCGTAGACTTTTATTCGATAACAAAAATAATTACTTCTCACAAATTGTTCAATGTGAATGCATAAATTGTTGAGTTGATTTCTTTAATGTTCCCTTGTTTGCATTACAGCTTCTATCTGGACAAAGGAAAAATGTCCCTTTTTGGACATTTGAGTACTATCAACAATATTTTGACATCGAGACCTATCACGTAATTCTTTTAAATAATTTTAACTAAATTTTTATTATTATTAAATGCTCTGAATCAAGCTTTGACTTAAAAAAATATTCTACTACTTAATGTTTTCTAACATTTCCTCAGGTAAAAGAGAGGATCATAGGATCAATGCTGCCATGGCCCAGAAAAAATTTCATTCAGGTTTACCTTCGTAAAAATCCTGATCTCTATGGTTAGTGCTCGTTTCTTTGTATCATTAACATATCCATTTATTTAACACATTTTTCACTTTGGCAAACCAAAAATCTGCTCCTGTTCTGTACTCTCAACCCCTTTAGTAATATTTGGAAAAAGTTTTGCTTCCAAAATTAATGATATTGTTGTGCATATGTTATGATTTTAGGACCGTTCTGGATTTGCACCACTCTTGTCTTTGCGATTGCCATCAGTGGGAACATATCCAATTTTCTTCTCCATTTTGGCAAACCAAACTATAAATATACCCCCGAGTTTCGAAAAGGTACATAAACCTCTGGTACTACCTAATCTAAGGTATAAGCATCGGTCTCAATGTTTTTATCTTTAAATTCCTCTTTTTTTACCAGTTACCATAGCTGCTACCGCCATCTTCAGCTATGCATGGTTGGTGCCTCTTGCCCTTTGGGGTTTTCTGCTCTGGAGAAGCAATAAGATCCTGAACTTGGTGTCATACTCATTTATGGAGATTGTCTGTGTGTACGGATATTCTCTGTCAATCTACATACCTGCAGTGGTGAGCCCTTTTAATTTCATTTGACAATAAATGCAGTAATGTTCCTGTTGAGATTTAAGTTACCTGTAACGTTTAATATGTCCATACAAGGTCTTGTGGATTCTCCCATATGAGTGGGTGACATGGTGCTCCATCGTGATGGCGCTGTGCCTTTCTGGCTCTGTCCTGGTGATGACTTTTTGGCCTGCTGTCAGGGACGACCATCCCAAAGTCATTGCGGCAGTCCTGTCATCCATTGTGCTGCTGAACATCCTTCTGGCCGTCGGCTGTAAGGTAATGTCACTTGCTTATGGTGCTCCTTTTACATATGTATCATGTGAATGATGGAAGAATAGACACAGCCTCTGATAATTTCTGTCGCCTGTCCAGGTAGGTGTGGATAACAATGATTGACTCATTCTAATTTGTCTTCAGTTATCTTGGCATGGCCATGGTTTGATCCAGCTTGTCTGTGCCAGTCACAGACTACATTATATTACCATCCTTGGTTGGGTCTCCCTGTATGTTTCTGGGAAATGAATACACCTGATACTGCTAAATTAATTTCCATCCTGGACTCTTCAATGGAAACTTTGCCCACATTTTCTAACTGGTGTGAGAATGAGCAGTTAGGTTACTTGTTAATGTGGATACTCTCCGCCCAGCAGAAGTATCATATGTCTTGTTGCGTGTTTGTAATTAGTTTACAAACTACAGTAAGCTTGTGTTTGAAGGGTGACAAAAGATTAATGGATTACTGGGATGCTCCATCCTCTCTGCATCATTGAACATCTTCTGCACACTCATCCAGAGCCTGGCTTTATATCTCATCTGAGTTGTCGCTTATGTAAACCTGTCTCAGCATTCAGGACTTTTTCTAACTTTTTTTTTTTTTGTCTATTTTGTTTTTTAGGCCTATTTCTTTAGTAGCCCGCAACGAGACTCTCCCGCACCTGTGACGGTCAAACCAACGTCATCGACATGAAATTCTTGCGTTGTTTGCAGGTAAACAATCCGGACAAAGAATCTCACAAAGCCACAGCACCGTTTTACCACTACACGTATAACCTGATGCATATAAATCCAACTGTGACTCACACTTTAGTTACCTTTGTTTTATTGATGCTCCAGGTTTTTAGATTTAAATTGACAAGTAAAACTAATCATTTGTCTGCCAGTCGCAGGCCCACATTATTCACCTAGTTTCTTTTGGATTGGGCTAGAGTGTGTGTTTTGTTGACCTGCTTGAGAGGAGCATCTGACACCACACTTCCTGTACATGCTTTCTCTTTCCCAATGCAAGCATTATTCTTTTTCTTTCTTTTTTTCCTTTAATTGTAGGCTCTCCAGTTGCCTTATTAGAGAGACTCGGGTTGCTGCGCTGATGAAGTCATTGGCCGTCTGGATTTCAGCTGTGCTTGGACATTCCAGCTTAACACCTGTAAAAGCCAGCATGCACACTTGTTGCAGCAGCGTGACCTCTGAAAATGAACACTGGTACCAAGTGTGTCATTCTAATGGGATGGGTTCTAAACTAGCTCAAAGTTAAATGGGGTATGGTATTACTCAGCACGTGTGTGGGTTTTAGTATTTTGATCACCAGTTTGTGCATTTATGGTAGCGGCATCAGTTAAATTTTCTATATGTATTCTTTCAAATGCCTGTGGCGGGAACTGTAAGGTCTACTTTTTGTACAGAATTAATTGAATGAACAGTTACTAGTGCTGATGGAATGCTCCTGGAACACTAAGCTATCCTCTTATAGTAAAGGTAAAAAACTTTCTTCCATTGGTTAAGCGCTGTTAAATAGTGCCAAAGGTCATCCTAAATTTTCTAGTGATTCTGTTCATATTTTAAAACCCATTTGTTGCTAAGAAAACATATAGCTTGTTTTTCCAATATATATTGCCCATTTGTGTTTAATTGAGATTTCTAAAATTAGTTTTGTGGCAAACATTTTTATCCTCTAAATAATATCTACTAAATGTTGTCATATATATCAAACCCAGAGAAGAAAATGTATATGGGTGTGTACAGAAATTTAATAAAGTTGTTTCGGTCTGTATCAAGTGTTTTTGTTCCATCATGAAATTGTCTGCTCTCTGGATGATGTCATCACACTGTGTGTAGTTCAAATATTTCATGCATGTTTTTCCTTTTACAACGTTTTCTTTTGATACACCAAAGTTGTTGCGCCCAACAACCTTGGATCACCCCAGCTCGCTTAAAATGTCGGCAACGTGACTCTTCTACCAGATCCTGTCAACATTAAAGCCTGCCAGTTCCTGTCAGCAGTTGGATATTTTAAATATTTAAAGGAGAGAAGGTAACCAAAACTTCAACATTTCAAAGAGACCATCTAACTTTAAAGGGGAACACTTGGCTCCTGCTGCTGCTTTTGGAACTTGGCGATGTGTGCGATAGAACAATCAGATGGAGTCTAACCCGTCTCAGTTTTGATGAACAGATAACCTGCCGTGGAAAATGTTGCATACTGCATGTTGGCATGTGGTCTGCTCATTACATGAGGGGGACCTTTATTAAGAGTGCTTATTTCCAGTCATTAAGAGTTGCAAAGTTTTCAGATTAATTAACAAAAGAGGGGAAAAAATTGGGTCATTTGAAACGGTGTCAAAAGGATGGTGGCGCCCTAATTAATGGTCATTCTAGCCCCAGCTTTGAGTTACACCGGAGCTGCCCGTCTAACAGATAACCCCTAGAGGGGAATGCCACCGGCCTCAGTCTCAGTGATGCAGCCAGCTGCTCCAGTTTAAGGACTATTTCATTGTTGGTTAACCTCAGATTTTTTCCAAAGGGAATGCATTTTAGTTTTTCGTCACATCATTCATTTTAAACCTTTTCAAAGGATGGCTACTTCAAGTGGAAAATTTGAAAAAGTGTCCAAAATTGAGACGCTAAAACTTTTGGAGAACTGCAGAAAGGAAAGAGATGATGCTCTGCACAGAGAAAGTGTTCTCAGAGAGAAACTCAGGCAGTATGAGTCGAAGATCCGTTCCACTGAGGCTCTGAAACAGAAATTAAAGACCTTGACTATGGACAACAAGGAGCTGAGGAAGCAGGTGAAGACCCTTCGGATGGAAATTGGACTCGAGTCCAGCCCCAAGTTCAATGGAAAGACCACCAAGGACATAATCAATGACTTGCATGAAAAGGAGCGAGAATGCATTTCTCTGATAGAGAAGGCAGGGAAACTGAGTCTGACCATTGATGACCTGACATCAGAGTTGGCAAATACAGTCACTTCTAAAACACTTTTAGAAGACCAAGTGCAGACGTTACAGCAAAATCTCAAGGATATGACCAATAATCAACGGCGTCTACTGAAGTTGTGGGAAGACAGGAAAGGCCAGAGGGAACAGCTTGCCCTCCCCGCCATTAGCCCGAAACCTGGTCAGATACCATTTGTCCAAAGAGCAGTTCAGACTGACATGTCCATCAGCTCATCTCAAAAGCTTCCAGACAATGCTTTTGAGACCAAGGCATTTTCTCGGGACAATGACAAGAAGAATGTTTTGGATAAACACAGTTTTCCATCTTATGGGAATGGTTTTCATCATGACAAAAAAGCCTTTATGCATGAGGAAACTAAGGGAATTCAAAATGGACACTGATTTACAGCCAGCAACAGTCTGCCCTGAAAAAGAAATAACAAAAAATGCTTGGGCTAAATATCTTTAATATATCTGACTGGCAGGACAGAGTGCTGTGTACAAATACATTTTTTAAGATTTTCAAATTGATATATCGCTTGTCTTGGTGCCTCGTATAATTTAATTAGAGTATGTACTATTTGGCAAAGTTTACATGAAACCAAAACAGCTCTGTTGCTTAGTCAGGAGTTGCTTGCTCCTGACTAAGTTGTTGGTTGTTGCTTAGCTAAGTATTTATGACTAAATTTTCAAAGACATGATTTTATACTATCCCATGCTATTTTTTTATGAATGTATTTATTCACATTTTTAAGATTCAGTTTAAAAATAAACCTGTGATGCAAATTAAAAAAGTTGGAAACAGGCAGGAAGATGGACAGCTTGATGTCGGGGTCCTTCACGGGTCTGCGTGTGGCGCGATGCGGGAAATTGAGGGTAAATAGTTTGACAGTCTCAGAGCTGAGGACTTTATTATTGTTAAGTGCATTTCAGTTGAGATTAACGAGATGTTTTCAACGGAGGCAAATTGTTGGTTTATCCGGAAGGTGAGTGTTTTACTTTTGTATGCAGTTAATCTTAGAAAATCACAAAAATGTTCAACATGCAACGTGCTAACCCTTTTGATTTTGCTAGCTGACCTCCTAAGCTAACGGTTTAAGTCTTGAAATTATTTTTATGGTTGTGTAAAAAAAGACTTAGCATAACAGTATGAACTGCGAAAAGGAGAGCAGGAGCAAGATATAAATAACAATTGACTAGATTAGAGAAACCTAACTGAGTTACATGAAATGAAAATGATAACATGCTACTCATTGTTTCAGTTTTTGCAAATGCACATTTCGAAATAATTATTTGACAGAATTTGCCACAATTGCTAAAGTGTGAACAAATCAAATGGTCTATCATAAATGAAACATTTTTGTGGATCCAGAATTTTTCTGACAAAAGAAAATCCTTTCTCAAAGATGGTCAGTAACAGGTAGATTTTGCAATGGAGACTACCCATTCAGACCTTAGTTGTCCTCTAAACATGTGCTCATCAACACTTTCATGAGCAGCTAATTGAAACCAAGGCCAAATTCCTTTTCTAAATTGACTTGGAACATCAAAGGTTCACATCTAGTTTTCGAGCAATGCAAATTAAGTTTTGTGATAAGGAAAAATGGGACCATTTGATATATAAGTTATATTTAGTATTCACAATTGATTGACAGCATATCAAATTTGCTTCTTTCTAGTAGCAATTGTGTTTTGTTTGTTTTTTGTGATAACGTCTGCTCTGTTTAGGTAATTTGCTGGAGAGCAGCGGCAAGCATTGCTTGGGCTGTCCTGTTGTTGCCACCAACTACAGCAGTTTTTGTGATTCTTAGCAAGTTCAGTCTTCTCCATCCCATCCAGACAGTAACGGGTAAATCACCACAAAGTTTGTGATATTTTCACTTCTAACAGCTGACTGCAGTTTTGTGTAAAGATGTTTTTCCATTTTGAACTCCAGAATGCTTGTCGCTGATGACGAGTGCCAGTGCGATTTTCTCCTTCATATTGCTGGGTGGAGTAATCATAATGGTTGGTTTCCTGATCTTGGAGTATCACACAGGTAAAAGACAGTAGATGCTTTTAAAGGGAAAATGTCTTCGATAACCTCATTGATAAACTGATTTCCTCTCCTGTGTTGAATGTTTGTGTTTAGTGAAGTTAAATAAGATCAGTTATGAACAAGTGGTTTACTACAATGTTATAATTATAAACTATTCCTTAATAAGACATCTTCTGGTATGTAGAAAAAGACAGATGTATTCATAAGAATAAAATTGCAGAGCATCAAAGCTAATTGCATTATGAAAAAAGAAAGGACCTCTGTCATTCAGCCATTACCTGACATAGCACCATACACAAAGCATGTTGCTGAACATGGTTCGCTCTTCATTACCTGTCTTGACATTGATGCATTTCTCTGATAAAACTTTGGAAATGGGTCAGCTGATCTTGTAACATGTGTCTTTCTCTCTTTAGTAATCCCCACCATTGCCTGCTCAAAAATTGCATTGTTTGGTCAGCTGCTCCACCCTCGCCAGTTTGTCAGCTCCTTGGCCTATTGCCTCATGGGTATGATCGTAGGCTGGTGTTGTGCTGTCACTATTGGCTTCAGATATGAGACGCTCTGCTACTCGTGTGCTCAGAGTGACGGGTAAGCAGCATCTGCAACAAACATTGAATGCATCATTCATAGTTTAACTGCTTCATTGTGTTTGCCACCCCAACAGTTACCCTCAGATGTGTCTGAATGAGCACCATCTGGTCTTTCTGCTGACGGGAGCCTTTGTTGGGCTCTCGCATAGTCTCCTGGGGGTAATCCACAACTTGAACTATGTCTCGTTCCATAGTGTACAGGTACTTGATCTGATTTTAGTCATTTATTTGTCTGAAATATACATTTATGACAGTGTCATATTTAGATAAAGAAATATAAATGCCTAACTTGAGTAATGATGAGCTTTCAGCGTTTTATTTATTGTTGCACATCTGTCACTTTTTTCCCAGCAATATAAATACCTGCGCTTCAAGGGATCTCTGCCTTTAGTGGTGAAGTTCAGCTCCTCTCAAGCATTTTACTCTGTCAGGAACTTCATTGCTTTGTATTTCTTTCTAGGTAAGATACTTTTTTATAGGATATATCTACTGGAGGAACAAAGCTATTTAGCATCCATTTGGCCCAGTCCTCATTAATTGTCCATTCACTCTTCCTGTACTAAGTTACTGAAGTTTAGATGTTCAGATGTTTCGTTTGCTATTCACAGGATACATTCCAAGAGCTTGGGTCTGTAAAACACTCAATCTTCACTTGGACAGGTTTGTGAATCTCAGTCATATGTGACTTATTGAAAATGCTTCATAGTAGTTTGTGCTTGCCAGAACATAAGACCAGATAGCATTGGGCTAAAAGGTTCTTCCTCTTTTAATCTCCCCCCCCCCCCCCCCCCCCCAACAGTGCTGTCCATCCTCTTGACAGCATAGCAGGACTGCTGGACCTCTCCCTGCTCTACCACCTCTGGATTAGTGCCACCTTCCTCCTCTTTACGTGGTACATCACACTGCTACTCTTTAGGATCTTTGTCACTGAGGTATGTTCTCAACTGAAGATGGCATTTGTAAAAAAAAAAACTAAAAAAAAATCAAATCAAACCTAAAGCTTTTCTCCCAGAGAGAGAAGGTGCCTGCCTTTTCTATTTTTTAACCGTCTTTAAACACTAGAGGGCAGCAGCGTTGACACCTTTACTACTAAGAAATAAATAACAAGGACATCATCTGAAATAATCCTAAATATTTCCTGCCCAGGTTTACAGTTTCCCTGTGCAGCCGTCTTTTACAGAAGATGCCCACCAGTGTCTTCCCAAAGTTCTTCCTGAGGAACAGCCAAAGATTTTAAAGGTATGGAAAGCTTGCATGCTGATTTATTTGTTTTTGTGTTTACAACAATGGAGATCAGATTTGAATGCTTTGTCTTCCCCTTTTTTCTAAATGTCAGTTCCTAGCTCTGCAGGACTTGGCTCTCTTGTCTCAGCATTCTCCATCACGGCGCAGTGAAGTTCTGAGTCTGAGCCAGCCAGGTGTGTTAAATATGCTGCGCACCACTCTTTTTTTTCTTTTCTTTTTTTTCTTTTGTTGAATGAATATTTGCCTATATATATATATGTATTTATTTATTTATGCACATAAATATGTAACGTCTTTCCCAGGAGGACATCCACATAACTGGAATGCTATTTGTAAAGAGTGCTTGTGTCTTCTGGCGGATCTGACCCAGAGGCTTGTGGCCTATCATGAGACCGTTGCTATCAACGGCAGAGCCAAATCAATGTCAAGTGGGAGCGAAAAGAGGAGTTCATCTGAGACATCAGGTACGTTGTTGTTAAACAGTGGTTCATGTCGCTGAGGACCTGTGGACCACTTTGTTAAACGGAGTGGCCTTTTTCATTATCTTCAGGTACAGAGGAGTTGAGTCCGAGGCCTGCTTTTCTGATGAAGACTCCAGCTTCAGTCTTTGCCCGCTCTCTGGCCGGAGGCCTGCAGAGCCCTCTAACGGCGCCGTTCACTCCTGACTTGGACAGCCCGTTTGCGTCCCCTGCTCTGCGGCGGCTCGCGGCTCCGGTGGATCCAGGCTCGCCGTGGTACGGCACAGTGCAGAGCCCCCACCTCATGCGGAGAGCACCGAAGCTCTGGTCCACCTCCACAGGTACCATCAGGTCATCCCACTTTGGTTGTGGTGTTTATCACTGGGATGATCCTGAGGCTCAACTCAAATCCCTTTCGAAGTGTGTACATTTCTCATTCATGAGGTGATCTCTTTACAGATTCACACGTCAATGGTAGCCCTCAGCCTTCGCCAGCTTCTCATCTCAGTCCAAAAGAGGAATCCTCCAAACCAAGTTTTCTCTCTCAGTTTCTGCAGAACAGAAAAGACCAGGTACTGAAACCTTGTTAGTGAGCAGTTGTAAGCCTTTTCTTTATCTGTAAACCACTGCACAAACAACGTTTTGAATGGAAAAGTGTCTGTTATGTATACTTTTTTTCCCTTTGACCAGAGCTGTTATCTGACTTTGTTCTGTTGGGAATGTGCACCCTTCTTATAAGAGGATCTTAGTTCTGGGTTAAATGTGAAAAGCCATCATCCGTGTTCATTATCACAACATTTTTGTAATACAACAACACCTCTGCACTTAATTGTCTCTTATTCAGGTTAAAAATTTCTTCGCAAAGCGGGTGCTGATAATGTATTTGTTTAACAAGGTAAGGATTTGTGTTGCTTGTGCATGAAGAGTGGTTCTGCATGCTGTGGTATGGCCGTAGATTCATAACTAATTTACATCCTCTCTCTTAATGGACCCAAACATCATAACCATGCTGCATGATTTGCTGTAGAAAGTAGATTAGTGTGCTTTGCTTCCTGAGGCGCTCACATCCCCCTTCAATAACAACTGAATGTTGTAGTGTAGTGTCACTGACATGGCAACCTAACAACTTTCTGGTGTACTGGTCTGAATCTGCTTTTATCCTTTAGAAACAACTCAGTCAATAATATTTTGTCCTTCAGCTTCCAGAAGCCTCCAGTCAGGCCCTCTTTGCTGACAGCCAGGCTCATATCTGGGCTTTGGAAGGTAGGAAAATATATTTTGATTTGGATCGGAAACAACTTATTGAGAATTTGTATTGATTTATTTATTTTAAATCCTGTATCCACTTTGCAGGGCTGTCATACCTTGTTCAAGCTTCCTTCTCAGAAGACCAGTTTGGAGTTGTTCAGACTACATTACCCAGCATCCTCTGCTCCATGCTGCTGTTACAAGAGGTCAGATATAATTTCCAAACATCTGAAATGATGTCCTTTTATGGGGCTGGCCAATATAAACCACAGCTTATGGACCTGGATCTTTAAGCTGCCGTGTAAAACATGATCAGGATCTGTGTGATTTTATCCAAACTGGAAAGCATTCAAAAGCTTGTTGCAAATTAATACAGAGGGAACCATCTGCTCACCCGCAGGCTGTAGACCGACACTTTAAGCTGCCTCATGCCTCCAGCAAGCCTGTGAGGACAACGGGCAGCATGGGAGACTCCACCTACAAAACCCTGCGCTTTGCTCTCAGGGCCACACTCAAGACCGCCATTTACAGGATAACCACCACGTTTGGAGACCACTTAAAGTAAGGCCGCCAGTGACTTTAAACCTGAGCTGAATCTGTGGGGAAAAGAAAAAGATTATCTTCTGAATACTCAACCCATGTTTTTGTTTGTCAGAGCTGTACAGATGTCTGCAGAGCACCGGAAAAGATTGCAACACTTTTTGGAGTATAAAGAATAACTGCCAACCGCTTCATCTGCCCTGAGTTTTGCCATTAAAAGTGTGAGTGGTATTTCTGTGTGTGTGCGTGCAGGAAAACAATAATATTTCCACGATAGCTGATGCCTACCTTAATATTTGTGTCTACAGTGTGACAGCAGATTGTTTTCAGCAGGCTTCATCACATCAGGAAGTCAGAGGATGGTTATGCACAATGATGTTGATCGTCAGGTTTTGGGAGCTTTTTGAAAAAAAATGTTTTTTTTTCCAGAAATTCCAACAAAATAAAAAAATGAACTTTTTCCGTTTGGATGAATTGTAAATGGCTGCGTTTTTCACTGGTTTCATATTTCAGCTGCTATCCTTTTGAGACAAAAAGTTGGGATGCTGAAGTTGTTCAGAAAATGTGGTTTCATAGATCTGTTTTCTTCTGAACAACCTTCAGTGTGGCTCATCATCTCAGTCACTCTGAGTTTACATGTGTGTGTGTGTGAGTGAATAGATGCTTAACTGTCAGTGTGAGTTTGACTTGTTGAATAAAAAAAAACGATTTTGAAAAAAGTCTCAAGGTCGTTCAATAATTTGGTGGAATTTCACTGTTGAACAGTTTGTTTTCAACATTGAAAAAATATTCAGCATTGCCAAAAACCTAAGTTTTAATTTCTTCCTGAAGCAAAGTTCCAAGTTGAGGACGGGCTAAATTTTTCACAAGGTCTTTGCTAAAATACAAACTCCTCACTTAAAATGGGTATCAGCCACAGTGGGGGAAAAAAATTCAATTCTATGGCCACAAACAGCTAAAGTTTACATTGGTGGTGAATAGTCTTATCATTTTCATATTCACTGATTTCAAATTTTGATGCCAACTGATCAAAGTCACGATCATCACAAGTGCTTCAACTGAAGGCTTTTGACCAAGATGGCGTGTCATTGTCGGAGCATTTTAAATCTTTCTCTTCCAACTAAAAGGTTAGACTTAAACAAATCCAAACATAATCATATTGGTGGTTTGTGCTGACATGCTTCTATAAAAAATAAAATGGTGCTTCTTTTAAAATACCTAATGCAGCTGATTGAGTTAAACTAGATTGAATGTTAGCTCAGACAAACTGAGACCATAAAACAACACAAACATAGTCATTTTTGTTTATTGCACAAATCGTACATATTTCAAACTGAACTGGTAGAATGCAATATTAGGTGGAGGTGGGAAAGGAATTGTTCATCAAAAGCCTTATTCTTTATCTATACAATATGCCAAAAATAGCCAGTGGGAAAATCTGGATAAAACTGTCTCAAATATTGGATCAATATCTTCAAAGCATACTTTTTTTGTTTTGTTTTCTTTCACCAGAAAAATAATCAAAAGTTGAATACTTGAAATGTCAGCAGCTGTTTATCAGAGGGATGTCAAGAAAAGGAAAAACGTGGATTTAAAAGTACGTCGTCCTCATACAGTATATAATATAAACTTCTGCATCGATACCAATTCATTGTTCTGACATTGTTTTTCTTTTTTTTTAAGTCAAACAGCATTTTCTAAAGTTTTTTTTTTTTTTTTTACTTTTTTTATATATTTTTATATATATATACATATAAATTCAACTAACTACAGTTCTCATAGAAAATGAGAAAAGCTGGACTTTATCGCTCTCACTCATCAAATGACTGGCAAGCATATTGACCCCGCCGCTCCTGCCATCCCCATATTTGCGCTAATGCTAACACAGCACCCGACCTGGTTAAAAAAAAAAAGAAAAAACACTGTCAATCATGTGGGGTTTTTACACTTTGATGCCAAACGTAACATGACTAAAGAGAAAGTTCCAGGAGAAGGCCGTCCACTCAGTTTAACAAAGCATTGGCAAAATGGGGCTTTGTCTGGGTCTGCAGGGGGGGGACAAACAAACATTGGGGACTTTATGCTAGTTGCTGAAAATGTGTTTGAGTGAATTACATTATGCTTATTGACAGTTAGCTCTGGAAACGCTGGTGGGGTTTTTCACCTGACTAAATCAGGTCAGGTATTTCTCCTTCTTTCTAGACTAATGGTTGAATAAAGGAAAACATTGAATATTAGTCATTTAATAAAGGAATTTTGTAGACAAGTACAACCCTTCAATCTTCCTGGGCTCTTAGGCAGTGTTTTAATTGATTGATCCAGGTCGGGTCTGGTTCTTAGAAGAGAAAAAAAAAGTTTCCCAACAGAGCTTGAAATAATGGCTTTCCTGTACACATGCTGAACACAGTCTTCCTCATTGAGAGGTGAACTTAAATTTCCTGTTGAGCATTAATTTCTGAACGAAGGTGGGCAGATGAGGAGAAAGAGGCTGAAGAAAGGATAGTGGAAGAAAAGGAAACCACCTCTCCTCACAAAGTAAAAACGCTCAAGTGCAAAGTGCCCCCCAGCATCACACACGGAGCACATGTTGTCTGTCTCACTCCAAGTCATCCCTGATTGAAAGTGCACTCAGTTGTGATTGGGGAGGGTAGTGTCAGCTGGAAAGGAGCAGAGAGGGCCATGCAGCATTTCCAGATTGAGATCAAATTAGAAAAAAAGCAACTAGCAGCTCATATATACTTTTTAAAAAATCTGACTCTTCATCAGCTTGAGGGCAAAGCAGGGCTCTCCCCCACACAGTTCAAACTACAAAGGGAGGAACCTTTAGGGTATAAGCCTCGGCCCTTCCTCCCCGCTGAACCCCTCCTCATCTGCACAGAAAGCTATAGAGCAAAAGGTCTGGTTCCAAGACAAAAGGGGGGGGGTTGTGTGCTGGTGAAGTATAGCCCACTACAGGTTGTGTAAGGTTGGAGGTACTCGTTGCCATATATGCACAATACTTCCGTTTTCTGATATGAGAAACACATCAGCAATGTACAGACAAGCAGGGGCCTTCGAGTGGCTTATGGGGGTGTGAGTGCTCACTCAAACTCTGCGCACTCCTCTCACAAACACCAAGAAAATGGAAGTGTCGCCATCTGCTGTCATCATTAGCACGCTTGCAACTGCTGGGAAACCAGGCGATAAGCATCTCTATCGCTCTGCTCCTACGGTATGTTTATGTAAATGTTTGATTTTCTGTTTGGATGTGTGTGTATAAAGGGAGAAACAAAAAAAGGGAAAGAAAGGAACAGTCTGTAGCTCATCAGTGTTTTGAGTGTGCCCGTGTGTCAATAGTGCTTGCCTATGTGCATCAATTCAAGGGCAATAAAGAGAGTGTGTGTGTATGCGTGTGTGATTGTGTGCGTGTTTGCTTGTGTGTGGCTCAAGATGACATGCACTGAACGTGGTCGGGGCCTCCTTCCTCTTCGTCTGAGGAGTCAGGGGAGCTCCAGGAGTCATCTGTGTCGGCATCCGCGCCCTCGCGGCGAGTCTGTGTGAGGCGTAGAGAAACCTTTTTTCAACACCAGCCTTTTACATAAACCTTTCCTAAGAAACCTACATAAATATGTTTCTTGAAAAAAAAAAAAAAACTCTATAGTTTTTCCAGATCTAAGCTCACCCGTGCTGGTCTCCTGTTCCTCATGTGTCTCATCAGGAACCACAGCAGCTGGGTGTCGTACTGGTCACCGTGGCGCACGCTGTCTTCGTCCCGCTCCCGCTTGTTTTTCTTCATCACCTTCACGAGTACAACCAACGTAAAATTAGGGATGAGAACAGGCAGTCCGAGCAAACGTCAGATTGCCAACATCGACTCAACGTGATCCTTATAGGGACTCGTCTCCAAGTTTGGTTTCCTCCAGTTGTGGAAAGAACAGGTAATGCATTTCCTGTGCTATAGTGATTAGGCTTTTGTTTTAAACCAAGAACATCCCCTTCACAGCCCACATGGGTATATGCACTTATCAACAGTCATCATTGTGTACACACATTTTCAAATCCCCCTCTGAGATCCATTTCACTCAGATATGAGTGCACTTTTAAGAGGAAAAGGCCAAAACTAGTCTTACCCTCCTTTGCCTCTCAGCATCTGGTAGCCGCTGTTCTAATGGCTCAGTTGGATGAGCCTGACACTATTTTTCTATTGATCATTACTCCCTGCTTCCATGCAGGCAGAAACACAACAGTACCCTCATATGTTACAGTTTACAATTTTATAAATTGATCATTTTTGGGAAGTTACAGAGGAAATTCAACTGAATTCATCCATTAGTAAAAATAACATGTGAAACTAATTCTCAGTGGTAACATGTTTAGGTCTACAAGGTATACCAAACTGGAGTCTGTTCTTGTAATCTTGTGTATGTAATCATCAGTAGATCATCCTTGTTAACCCCAAAGAGCAGAATGAGGGCGAGCTACTTGCAAACCATCTTTCCGGAGTCTCCATGTTAAGAAATCAGAGCTGAGAAGCAGAGTTGTCGCCACCTTTGCAGCCCCATACACAGTGTGGTACTCCTTCTCAGATAATGAATTTCAATCCAAATAACAATAAGACGGATACACATCAATAATACAGCAGTACATGAATCGTTACCTCTTTGAGACCCTTCAGTCCTGTGGGGGTTTCAGCTGTGGGAGCCCACAGTTTGATATCGTGGTCTAACCCACTGGTGGCCAAGCCTGGCAGATGGGGATGCGGCTCCAGACAGTTCACCTACATTAGAAAACAGTAATGTCAGGAAATAGTAAGAGTTTACCTTTATGAATCCAACAGTTTTAATTAAAAAAAAAAAAACATGAAAAAAAAACTCACCACTCCTCCTCTGTCGCCCTCCATAAATTGGACAATGCGAGCAGAGTGTTTGTCCCACAGGTAGATGTGTCCACAGTCACTACCGCTGACCACAAACTCGCTGCACGGCCCATAGAAATTCACCCCCTTCACTGGAAGAAGAATCAGAGGATGGAATAGGAATGAGCATGGTGAGTGACAACACCTCCCCCCACTAAGAACCGTCGGTACATTCAGAGAAAGATACCTGTGGCGTTATTGCGGTGTCCCTTATATCTCCTGCGATAGTCTGCGCCGTCACTGTGGTTTGAGTCAAACAGGTAGATGTCCTCGTCATTGTAACTAGCAAGAAGTTCTGGTCAAACAAAAAGGGTTCAAATGGGTTTAAAATGTCCTTAAAGGTCGTAAGGACATAAAGAGGTATTGATTTAGCCTTTGTAAAAAGAACTTAGATAAACTCAGCCAAATTTACATACATTTATCAAAAAGATGTTCATTTTAAGGGATGATATAAACAGATTAACACACTAATTCAACACTAGATTACAGGCTAAAATAAAATGACTGTTTTACGTGGCTTAGTAACTTTACCTTCGCCGTCATGACTATACACAAGGCAGGTTATGTTGGTTTTAGACTCGCTGGACACCAGATGGGAGGGACAAAATTTCTTTAGTACGCCGTTGTTGTCATTTTCATTTATCTTCCTCTGGTCATAAATCCTAAAGAAAAGCAGAAAAAGAAAACACATCAATAAGAGTGCAATCCGACAGACATTATCAAAGAGATATTTAGCTGCTAGAGTCAGTTTCATACCTTACATACTGATCTCTCCCTCCAACAGCAAATTGGTGTGTCTTTGCTGGGTTGACAAAGATGGTATACAACCCTACTTTTTTATCACCCTCCTTCACAACCACAAGTTTACTGTCAAACAGAGAAGAGGAAATGAAAAAAAAAAAGCAATGACAATGACTTATGGCAAACGAGGAAATTACACAGCCATAAAATAACTATGGGAAAGAGGAACTTGGGATATTTAAAAAAAAATACAAATAGAGATCGATATACCAGTCAGCTGTGAAAACACCTGACTGTTCAAACCACAATTAAACTTCACAACCCTTGAACATACTGTATTTAGAAGCCATTTTTTTACTTTTTGCTTTTCTGCGCAGGTGTTGCATCGGGCAATCGGTTTCGAAATCAAAACTAAATCTTGCTTTCACATTTGCACTGAAAAATGTTACACACGTAATCCCTTACTTGGCGGGACGGTCTAGGCGCAGGTCAATGCCAAACACCACAGCGTCCTCTCCAGCTGACAGAAAGGAACAAGGGGAATCTGGTTCCAGGGCCAGCTGATTGAAAAATAAAGAAATAAAAAGCCCTGATCAGAAACTGCTTAACCATATTAGGTTGTGGCAGAAAACACTTTCCCTTCACCCTCACCTTGTGTGCAGCTCCTTTGTGCTGTGCTACCCGCTTTGTGTTCTTGCAGCGCTGCGTTGCAGAGAGCTCAGCCACTCTGATCTGACCATCACGAGCGCACATGGCCAAGGTGGAGTCCCCACTGTGAGGCAGGAACTTTGCCTACATAAAGCAGAAGAGAGGAGAATCATTTGAAGTTTGTGATCATGTTACTTCTCTGAGGTTACTTTACTCAGTTTCATTCTATGAAAATGTTTAAATTGTACACCCAATTTATATTAACTATAATAATTTACTTGTTGATAATTAAGCTTTCTTTATGTTTGGTTTATTAAATTTGTCAGAAATCTTTTTAAATCAATTCCCAATCTTAAAAATGAATAAATACAATAAACACAAAAAAAAAATCATATGATCACGCGCCTTATTTACCTTTAACTTCTATAATAATCGACCAATTTGTCAAATTCTTAAGAGCAAACAATAATAAGCAAATTAAACAATTCAATCAATAAGTGCAGGATTCTCCAGGCTAATCTAAATTTGTCGGCCAAATATTTGGAAAGATGGTTTAATCCCTAAAATGTGTTTAGATTAGAGAGAAGCAAGACCTGATGAGAGGAGCTCAGGGTAGAAATTCAGTGTGTAAAAACTGGATATCAGGGACTGCACAAACTAAATTAAGCGTTCCATTTTCCTGCTTCATTATGGTTTTTATGACCCTGTTAAATAGCTAGATAAAACATAAAGTTACAGGTAACAACAAAAACCAGTTGCAGCCCTTTCGTCTTCCCTCACCTGAAACACATTACTTTTGTGTCCACTGTCAAACTCCAGCTCAGCACGGCGGATGGCCCAGTCCCATATCACCACCCGCAGGTCGTCACTGCCCGACGCCAGGCGAGTGCCAGAGGGGTTGAAGTGCAACGTGTTGACGCAGCCTGTGTGCCTCTCTAAGCGGCCCTGCAGCTCCAGCCGCTGAACCAGGCCGCGGGCGCCACACACACGCCTCACAAACTGATGCGAGTCCCTGCCAATCTCTCTGGAGCGCAGCGAGGGTACCGACTGCCACACGGGGCCACGCATCTCACGGAGCTCGGCGCCCAGCCAGGCCTCCATAGCCTCGTTGTCATCATCATCATCATCATCATCCTCCTCATCCTTTTGTTCTTCTTCATCGTCATCATCGTCATCATCATCATCATCAGAACTGGAGGAGTGGTTGTTGCCGCCGGGGCGATTTCGCTTTCTAGCTGCCCTTTTCCCACCATCCTTTTCCTTGCCCTTCACTCGTCTCCCTCCCTCACTTTCTCTTTCGCCATCCTCAGTCAAGGAGTAGAGCGCGCTGCCGTCCATGCTGTCTGTATCTTCGTCGTCCTCACCCTCTTTCTTAGCCCCCGTCTCTTGTTCCACATCCGGCATAGGTTTGTCTCCAGATACCTCTGCGGTTTCTTTGGGAGCTACAGAAATAGGGAAGGCCAGGATGTTAGGGCAGAACTGTCTCAATGGGAGATTCTGGAAACTCATAAAGCAAAGTAAATTCAGTTATGCAAAAAAGAACATCAGGGATATCCAAATACTCCAATGTTAAGTCATATTTGCTTTTATAAATTAAATTATGAAATTTAGAGGAAAAAATAAATTTATAAACTTTAGCAATATCTGAAAAAAAATGGTAAACAATGATGCTAGCTGGAATGTTTTTAAATCAGGCTGTAAAGAGCTCAGGAGTAAGTTTACCATCTTCAGAGGAAGGTTGTGTTTGTCCGTCTTTGGTTCCAGAGGCATCATCCACAGTGTGTTGATCTTCTCCAGGGTCCTTTTCATCAGAGCCTGCTCAAAACAGATATATCCTTAGTTAGACTTTTAGATCTATTAAGTATTACAAATCACACAGTAATGGGCTGTATAAACAGCTGGTTGTGGTGCAGCACTGATACTTCACCATTAAGCACAGTGGATTTGCCGTCAGCCTCAGCCATCACTTCTCTTTAGTCCTGCGTCGTCCCAAAGTAGAACCTCAGAGGGTAACAAAAGATAACAGTAGTAAGACTTTGTCTATCACTAAAATACAAAACAAGAAAAGAAATGACAGTTTAGACAGTAGGGGCACAAGCCGACCACATAGATCATACTGCATCTAAGATTAACGACTCTTAAGAGCACCGTGGGACACAAGTTACCTGTTTGCATTGTAGCCTATAACAGAGAAGCTAATGATGAAAACTTAAGTTGCTCTTGCCAGTGTCCAAAATAAACTACCTCGCTAACCTACACTAACCGAAACCGAGGCCCAACTAATGCCCACTTTATTTTCAGGTGTCTACGAGTGCACTGTCCTCTGCAAAATTGCGACTTCGTGACACTGTTATTAGCAAAGGCTAAAGCTACCTAGCTTCAATTCGGCTAACATATATCGAAACTATAACAAGTCTGCACATTTAAAAAAACAAGCTGGTTGTGAAAATGCGAACAAGCGAAAAAAGCATTGCTTTAACTCGCTAACTAGCACTGCTAGCTTTACCTCTACTCGAAGGCCCGACGAGGCGTACTTCTTAGTTTAGTCCTAATCTTTATTGCAGATTTGTTTTCTCCAACCCACCACTTAGCAATCGAGCTAAGTGCCTCGAGTAAAGATTCCCTGACGGTGAACACACGACATTAGGTATGCGTGCATGAATTCCTATGTAAAAAAAGAAAAACCGACAATAACAAGGGCTGACTGCGTTCACACAAGGTTGTCTTGTCTGTTTATGTTTTGACGGTTCAGCTTCTTTTTGTGTATGTGGGGATCCATTTCCGGTGTCGTGCTCGCTTGTTTTATTTTCCACCGGAAGTTCGCAACAAAGAAACGCCTACCAATTTAAATTAATTAATTCATTAACTAGAATATCAGAATTGATGATATATCTAATACATAACACGTAATAATAATAATAATAATAATAATAATAATAATAATAATAATAATAATCATTATAATAATAATTATAATAATATTAACGATTCTGTTGTTATTCATTTCAGTACCATTTATCAGGTTTCCTCATCAGCAATGTCCAAATTGTATCAACAATACCTGCACTGAAAATAGAAAACCTGTTCATGAGATATTTTTTATATTTATTTTAGATTTTTTTGTTTTTGAGGGCAATCGTTTGACACGAGTGATTCCATCAAGGACAAGACTCACATAAATGTATGTATTCAATTAATGCAGTAAAGTTAACATATTTTCCTGCTTGGTTTGTTTACATTAACACATGCTGAGGCTCATTAATCTGATGGCTGTGTAGCAAAAACATTGGCTTCTTCACTGAAGACCCGGTGGTTTCCTTCCTGTGTTTATATCACGTGTTTAATACCACTGACTTACTGTAATTACCATTGCAGTTTGACGTCTTTATCTCTGCAACTGTCCTGTGATCCTACATCTGCTCATACTGCTGAAACATAAAGGTTACCAAAAGTTGGATAAAAAAATTACCTCGTTATTATCAAGAATGTTAGCAGTATGGTGCAGACTGGAAAGGAAAGGTTAAATTAAAGCACATATAACTTTTCATAAGTGATACACATACGACTAAAAAAAAGACCATGGAAGCATTGGGTGCAATTTGTAGATGAACATAAAGAACTGAAAAATACCTTTTAATTTCTCGATATGGGCCCCCTAATTTAATACCTGTCAAAAGTGTGAAAATAATTTAGATCTTGGAAGGCTTTTTGAAATATGTACACATTTTTACACTAATATCAGAAATGTTCCTTTTTTTCAAATCAAGTTTAACCGACCACTGTGGAAATGTCACAAAGAAAAGAGGGGGACGTTTGGTCTGACTGAGGGGTTTTCACATCAACCTCCCCCATGTGTAACAGACAGATCTCTTAAGCTGCAGCAGCTCTGTCGTCCTCCAGAGGCGATGCTGGAGTTCAGACAGACGAGCGCACCGCTCAGAGAGCAGCTCCAGTCATGCCGTACGCAGACTTAAATTAAGCCAAACTTTGGATATTCTCCACTGACCTGCTGTTTACACCGCCAACATGGAGTACTGGAGGCAATGTGCAATGTGGCTGATCAGCTGCAGGGTGCTGCCAAAGAACCACCGAATAACTGCGGAAACGGCGCAGGTGTCCGACCTGGCGCAGACGCTGCGGGACGGGGTGCTGCTCTGCCAGCTGCTCAACAACCTGAGGCCAGACACCATCAACCTGAAAGGGATCAATCTCAGGCCACAAATGTCACAGGTACACGAGCTAGATCTGAACTACACTCAGAACAGCAGGGTGATACAACCGGCAGAAAACGCACAGTCGTGCAAAGTTATATTATGATAATGTTTTAGTTAAATGCAATCTGAGATGTCATCAAACGTGTTGATTTACTCAATAAACAACATCTTCAGAGTTACTTTGTCAAGACTGCCTGAGGTGTAGGATTGATATTATTTTCGGAGATGGGCACACAGGCCCACATACAGTTTCAAAATGTTCACCACAGATCACAATCAGAAAGTGTGTTTGCACACGCTTCAAAAGATGTGTATAGATGACTGGTCTACACAAGTGATGTTGATTTAGAATCAAATGAGTTTCTCATCACTTTTGAATTTAAGTTCTTGGAAAAAATATGATGATTTGCAGCCAAACCCAATATTTGTATTACTTTCCAGATCAAAACTATTAAGTGATTTCATACCAACTGTGTACCAGACACATACGGTGTGTGCCCTTTTATTTCCAGCACAGCACCATTTTGGAATTGCATTGGTGAGACAAATGTTTCCTAGCCTCCACTCGTTGTCACTAGAGATGTCTGATAAAGTCCTGTCTTTGATCCACCCCTTAGGAGACTCATCCAGTTTGTGCTTCAGCAGCTTGTATTTTGCTTGTGACTAATTTGGGAGACATGTGGCACATGTATGTAGACATCGGGGGCCTTTGCAGTCTCCAGCACTTTTAAAACAACAGATTTAAATATAAGAAATTGGTCCAACAGCAATATTAGTCAGGATTTTTTAGGATGCACTTAATTAACTTGTATGTCAGGATTACATGTTGAGTTTCCAAAATATGAACCTATACTGTTAACCGGCGAGACTTCTTGTTCACTGGAACACCTATGGTTTGTGGATCTTTGTCTGTGTTTGTATCTAATATGTTGATTTACGCAGCAAATTGTTAGTTGTTTAAAATGGGAAACTACATTTGAACAAACTGACCATTTAAAAAACAAATATATGCAAATAAACAAACTAACAAAGTGTTACGTCTTATAAGATCAGGTTGCCCTCTGTTTGTTTATCTTCTGTCAGTGTGCATCCACTGCATTTTGTATGTGCTTGAGAGACTGAGAGAGCAGACCCAGAGTGTAACGGGAGGAACAATGGAGTCTCATGGCCTGCAGCTGTAGGCCATAGGAGTTCGGTTGAGAGAGACATGTGTGTCAGAGGTCTCCAGATTTGTAAATGGCATTTTCATTGTGCACAGCAAACTTATGGTCTTAGTAATGGAAACAAAGGCTTGAGGGGAATGGGCCGCAGGACAAGAGAGCAGTGTACCATGATGAAAATGCACCATGTTCAGCCAGATTTTTTGGGCCTCAGTAATGATTCACATTGATGGTAATGGTACTAAAGTATGTGGATCATTAAGATAAATATCATATCTCTGTGTGTGTATATACATATATACAACTACACATATATATATAAGAAGATAAATGCTCATAAAGAAATGTCTGAGTACCTCCTCTATTATTATGTTATAACACAGTTCTTTTCAGGCATGAGCCAACACTGACTTTGGAGCTTAGCGTTCGCTCTACGGAGATGTGTACAGGAAAATGTACACCAGGGTAGTGACTGCAGTCTGGAGTGTGGCAAACAGCCATCAAGTTCACGCACTTCCTTTGCAGACGCACGGGGCCCCGCGGGGCGGTTGAGTGATTACAGGCGTCTCCACGATGAGCTGCTGCGATAAAAAGGAGTCTATCTGTTCTCAACAATCTTTTTACAGCTCTGTTTTTTTTTTAGACAAAGTGTCACATAGTCATGAAGAATTTCCTAATATGAGCTCCAAAGTGTAAATTGGATGGCTTAATAGTGTCCAGTTTGTTTACCTTTTCATAACATTTGGGTGCTAGTAACACAGAGTAAAATAAGTAGACTCATACTCAACTCAAACCTCTATATTGAATCATATACTACAATCGTAAGGCCATGGGCTCTCTAAGAGCTGTGTGAATGTGTCAATTCCCTCTGAGGTTATAGATCCCGATAGGAAGTGATGTGAATAGAGAACTTAGTTGGTGGTTTCATGTCATAATGTCGAACTTCCACTTCACACTTTCCATTTACAGAAATTGTGATTCACCTCCTCTTTGGACAAATAGATTCACTGAACTTTCTTTACATTATTAATGCAAAATTATTTTTTAGATACCATGATGACACACAGGCATGATTTATCTTTGCCACCCAAAAGAGAAAAGATCAGCAGCATCTCTTTCCCAAGTCTATCTATGTATCATGTAATTAGTAATAAACACGCTCATTGTACAGTTTTTGACATACATGAAATGGAACAAAAGACACCCCATCACACATTCCTTTGTGCTTATTTAGTCTGAATTCTGAACAACATATGATAAAAACTTGAAAGTTTCAATTTTTTTTTTGTATCTAAAAAACATAAAATAGATCAAATCAGTTAAGAGCGTTGGATATGTAATGTGTAACGTGGAGATAAAGGCCGTCCTCTGACTGAAATGCTGGCCATTTGTTTCACAGTTATGTTGTGTGAGTGGCCTTAAGCAAAAGAGTGAATCATATATTATCCCAACATGTTAAAAAGATACGGCATTCTTTATTTAAAGTGCATGAAGGATAAGAAGCACCACCCTTGTGAAAAGATGGATGAGACATACACATGAAACACCTTTTTGAACCCAGACAACACATAAAACTTTGGACCAATCATCATTACTCATGTAGTGAAAGCTCACATGATTAGCTGAAAATTATTTTTATGAAGTTCTAAGAACTAAATATGTTTTTAGTTAAAGACTCTGAGTGTAATATGTTGTTGATCTTTTTATCCAGAATTGTTTCCATTTTTCCATATTTCTGATATAGGAATATGGCAGAAAAATGCAGATGAATGACTGTAACTGCTACATTGAGTCAGGCTGAGCTGACAGTTGTCACATTTTCACCCTCTGCAGTTCTTGTGCTTGAAGAACATTCGGACATTCCTGTCTTCCTGCTGCGAGGTGTTTGGGCTCAAGAAAAGCGATTTATTTGATGCCTTTGATCTCTTCGATGTTCGAGACTTTAAAAAGGTAATTGATGTTCATCGCTCTGTATTTTCCTGCCACTTCATCCTTGAGTAGTGATCTCACATTTTTCACACAGGAACCGTTTTCAGCTCTCTTTGTGTTTGCTTGTCTGGCACTTTGGGCTGGATGTTTTGCTAAATTAGTTGGTTCTTGCATCTTTAAGTGCTAAGAAAGCACAAAACACATCATACACATTACCAGCTCTTCCACTGGATCACTGAGAGCAGTTAAATTGGGTTTCTTAACAATCAGTTGTGTGGTTTGTCTTGATTTTAAATTTTGACTGTAGTTATATTATTTTACGTGGTAAACTTTGTCTTTCTGTCTGTCTGACATCGCTCTTAGCCCTCGATAGTTTTGTGTCTAGTTTCCTGTATTTATGTTGTCTCCTTTTCACTATGTTTGATTCCTTTTCTGACCATGTGAAATGTGGGCCGAATGGAGATGATTCAAGACTAAAATGATTTATATAAGCATTTGTGCTGCCAGTGGAACATTTGTATAATTTGCAATCGTTTTAAGCCTTACGACAGCGCTTAAAAATCTCCATCAAATGATTAGAGGATAGAACATGATACATTTTAAGAGTTACCTTAAAACATATTGTACATGTGTATCCTTACTTATATTTCCTCTAAGAGATGTTGTCTGCATGAAAGATGCCATGTATGACTTTTTCTTTTAGGAAATGTACAAAGGTCTTTCACTACTATAAGTATGAGGGGCACGGGGCCATGGTAACAGAAGAGACGGCAAACTGTGATGGGGAAAATGCATATAAACTGTCTTTTGTCACAGATAAACTTGTACCCACAACCAGAAAATATTCATATGGGTCCCTTATGTCTTTCAAGTATTTTCTACATATGTCATTAAATGATTGTCGTGCCTTTGATGCATATGGGTGTCGTGTAGGTACAGAGAGGTCAGCAAGGTGTTGAAGTTGGTGCTCTGCTGATGTTCCTCTTAGCTATTATGGGAAGTAAGCAGTCTGTTATACACTGCAGAATTTGAAAGACCAACATTTTGCACAGAGAACGATTTTCTGATTCTCCGATGGAAATGGACACATACTGACCCCTTTCATTCTCAGTCCAGAAATAATCAGTTGTCCCCTCTCAATCCTCTTATTGCAGATTTTTTTATTTAAAAAAAAAGATTGATATACTTAACTGCATGATTTTTCTGGAGTCAACCTGTAATATAGTTAAATTTGACCCAGTGGAATATTTGTCTGGTTTAATATTTTCAGTAAACTCCTGAAGAATGTGGTTGACTTATTTTTTTACTGCAGGGTTTCTGGACAACAGTGTTATCAGGTCAGTGGGTTTGTAATGCACATACGTTCCTACCCTGTGGACAGTCGCTTGCAGCACAGAATCTTTATTTAACCCCATTCAAGAAAGCACAGTCACTCACAGCAGACTTGCCCCCCTTTAGTTGAGTGTATCTGGTGCATAAACTCACCTCTGAGCATCATGACTTATCTGAGCATTTGCAGTCTGCAGCAAAATTCAACGGTATTTATCTATGAAGCATTTCTATGTTCTGAGTCAAAGTATTTTACAATTCTTGAATGGTTATAACAGAGCTTTTTTCGAAGGTAAACTTGTGTATGGCTTCTACGTTGAGTTATTTAGTCATTCTACTTATTGTATCTGCCAAAAGTAGTCTAAATTCATCATGAATTTAGAAGATATTTTGTATAGTATGTGTAGCAATTTCTATTGAAGGTAAATTATCTCCGGGTTTGGCAGTGAGGAAAAGTTTTTAATTTTTGATGTGAATACAATGTTGAATTCACTACCCTTCAGAGAATTGACAGGGGTCACAAGGGTAGGAAAACTAGCTGTGAGTGCATGCACAGCAGTGTCTGCATTTCTCTTGCAGACTTTGTCTTTTCTTTCATTTCAACGTGTTAGCTCCTAAAGAAGCTTCCAGTTAATCTGGATGCTGATAATCCCACTGGGGAAGCACAGCCTTCAAATATGTACAGTACTTTCAAACTGGGCTGCATAATCTCGGTCATGTTCAAGGGTTGTCCATCAAGCAGACAAGCTTCTGGAGGAGAGATTGCACGGCTTTTTTTTTCATCCGTTGGTTAAGGTGGAAATATGGGTGTCTGCACGTTCTGCAGTTGGGTTGGATTGTCCCCAAGAAGGGCTGTAGGGCTGAACCAGAAAAGCCCAATCTCTTCCTTATTTTAAACTTACATCCACGAGAGAACATCTCAAATCTTAGCCAGTCTAATCCACTTGCGGTGTACTTGTGCCAACTCTGCCCATAGACTGATAATCAGTCTTCTGAATATCTAATGAGACCTCTCTAACCTACATTCCTCTGCTGAGTTTAAAACAGACTTTGCTGTGGGCATGCAGCAGCCTGCAGGCCATAGGTGAACGAAGTAGACGAGAAATGTGTTTGTTTCCTCCTGCAAAATGAATTGAATCAATAAAGTTTTCATTCTTTTATCGAAAACAAATAAATTCCCCAACTCCAGCATCTTTACCACATAGTGTTTGTTTATCTTATATCTCTTAGTAGGTACGAGTGTACCCATATAACATTGTTTTTTTTCATGTTCCATTCAAGGGCTAGAGACTTTGGACTGAAAATATAAGAATTTTCACTCCTATTTTTTCTTGGATCAGGCTTTAAAGGGTTACATTTGACAATAAAAACAGTGATTGTCATACACATATTGTCGATTACATGGGGACAGTCAGTCTCAACCACTTTGTTGGGTTAGGTAGTCCTCAGCTAAAGTGGCCATAACTTTTGCAAGTCAATCTGACATAAACTGTCACGGAAAGACCAACTGCTCGTGTGCATTTTCAAACTGTCTAAGTAGGCCACTCGAACCCGAGCGGTCGGACTTCAGCTCACCTTGTGGCTTTGCCTTTCAAGTTACATGTGGCTCAATCTAAGTTTCATCATTGTAGACTTTGAGAGAGCATTAAAAAACAAAACAAAAAAACAATTAACAATTGAGGTACATTGAGTGTATGGCTGTCTGATTTTCTATTGATAAATTCATATCGTTCTTGTGTTTTCTTGACAGAATGATATTTATCTTTCATATTTATTTTTCTTTAGAAAAATATGTCTGAAAAAAGGGGGGGGGATCAGTCTAATACCCAGTGACCACAAATATCCCTACTGTAAATCTGAAGTGAGACGCTGTTAGGTGCAGCTTGACTTCAATGGATATTTTGCAAAAAGATACCAAATAGAATAAATAAATAAAAAGATACCGTTTGTGACATGCTGATCCAGAAGTCTGCTATCATAATATACTTACAGTAAATAGTAAATAAGTTTTAAAAAACTTTTTATCTTTGAGGCTTTTTGTCTTTGTTTGTGTATTTAGTTTTTAGGTGGACTGTAAGGACGTAGATCCTCAAGACAAGCCTCAATTAAAATATGAATTTTTTTTAACCCGTTAACAACCCGTTTACCTGTGATCTCACGCAGATGTAAAACCTGTTTCTCACATTACAAACAAGACTCCCTGAAGTAACAAGCACACTTGGGTCTAACCAAAGCCACAGCTCTCATTCAGACAGGAAGAAAGAAATCAACTGTAGAGAGACAGCCTGCTATCCCCATCTCCTTTTCTTTCTTTTAACCATACATGCGTTCCATTTTTTTTCTATAGATCACACTGCAGTGTTGGCTCTTCATAACTTAGACTTCGTCACCACAACAAGAGAAATAGAGATATGGAATAATTTATCGCCAGTCACACCCTGTTTAAATGTTCCATATTCTCATATTGTGTCTCTTAAATTCTGACTGCTTTAGTCCAGCTGGTTAGTACAAGTCACCTCACAGCAAGAGGGGTCGCGGTTTTATTCCCTGGGGGACCGGGGGCCTTTCTGTGTGGAATTTGCATGTTCTTTCCACGGCTACTCCAGCTTTCTCCCACCGTCCAAAAACATTCATGTTAGGTTACTTGAAGACTCCAACTTGCCCCTAGGAGTGGATGTGTGTGTGTGTGGTTGTTTGTCTCTGTGGGGCCCTGCGATAGCCCCCACCTCTCGCCCAAAGGCTCCAGCCCCCCGCGACCATCTATGGAATAAGCTGTATAGATAATGGATGGATGAAAAAATATCTAGACTACGTTGCAGCGACAGTTTTCTGAATACAGTGGCTTTCCATTTGTTTATTTGGTGATTAACATTGGTTTATAAATCTATTCAGCATGACTTTGGTGGAAAAGCAGATCACAATGACAGCAAGACTATGAAGACAATTAGTTCAACAGTTTCAAAAATACAACATATTCTACATGCAACAATTGTTTCATATTGTATTATTGTCTACCCCCTAACTGAGAGGGTTGCAATAATAATGAAAGATGATTTTCACATGACATTACAAAATGTAACCCTCACAAAATGTTTGTCTAATACATTCTGCTAAACAAATTAAGTCTTCAATATTTGTGTCACCAGGTAATGGAGACTCTTTCAAAGCTCTCTTATTCGTCAATTGCTCAACAAGCAGGATTCAAGTAAGTTATAAATCCCACACAATTATCCAGTTTAACTGTTTGAATTTACTATTAAAAATGATTATAAAATATGTCCTGTTTTGTGAAGTTTTCAACAACAGTTTGATAAATCACAAAACGAAATAGTTAATTTTGTTATTACTGAATATTACTGAATTAGCCTTTTGAGAAATCTCTCCCCAGATTAAGGCTTAATCATGAAATCAAGTTGCTCTTTTTTAAGCAAATACATTTGTCACAGCGTGAACAAATTGCATGCAAGCATGTCAGTTTGTTCTGATATCTGATATTTAGACATGAAAATGTGGTTTATTAATTTTTTTTTCTGTTAGATATCTGGAATTAGTATACTTCACTGTCTTTTTCAGGCCTTTTCCAACAGAGGAGAATCTAAAAGACGAGGACATTTACAACAACCTTGAGGACTTGTTTGAGTATGTATGAAATCTGTGTGCCTGACTGATGTTGATGCAGAGCTAGTTCTCTGAGCTTATCATCCATGCTCTCCAGGGGTCTGATCACCCACACGTTTTGGTTAAGTCTTGGTTTGTCCGTTACTGTTGGGGGAACGAAATGAGTAATTCTGCATGTTTTTGCTGAGTGCCTGAGTGCATACCACCCATCAACTTTTTGAATATATTTTTGTTCCTTTTTCTTGTCACAGTGAAGTACAAGTCTTGACTTGTTAAGTCTTTTGCACATGCAAACTAGAACTATATGTTGATTATTAGAAAGATTAGACGTTTTTGAAGAGCAGTGTGAACCGATTTCTGCTCCTGAATTTTGTCATTGCTATGATTATTACATGGTTATTACAGACAACATCCATATAAATTGTGCTGCTTGTAGTTGTTGTTATTGTGAACATTCTTCACATATTAATGGACAGCAGACATTTACTATAGCTGTGAGTCTTTAATTGACATCAGCCACTAACTATAACAAATGACAAATCCCTGTCACAAATTTGCTCAGAAATGTGTATGTCTTTGTGTGTGTGTGTGTGTGTGTATATGGCAGTGAGAATGTTCCTGAGGATGAGGATGACTTGTATGCAGCGGTCTATGGGCTGGAAGACAACTATGCCGGGGGAGACATTTATGAAGACCTGATGAGAACTGAGCAGCATCCCCCTCTGGTACCGCAATGAGTCAGCCTCACACACCTAGGCACACACACATTCACAAACACACGTGTGTGTACACAAATACCACAAACAAAACTGAAAGGATGTTGAATGATTTTTTTTAGAAGTGCAGTCACTATCACATATAAATTTGTTCACACAAGAGCAAAGTTTCAAAGTTCGAACTTAATGGATGATTTAATGGATACAGAAGAGTTTCTTTGGGAATGGACACATTACAACACCTGTAGCCGAGGCTTTTTTTAATCTTTTACCAAAAGACAAAATCAAGACACACAACTGTAGAGAGATTAGCGTTTGATGTAATGCTCCTTTCGAGGGTCCGCCATCTTGTGTAAGATGGCCCCTCATCGTACAGTGTGCACAATGTTTGTGTATATAATAGAAGGTATCATTCAAAGATGCAGAATAGTTGTACAACTCAGACATGAAACTTTCACTTCTGTTTCCTGATATTGCCTCTAATGTTATGTATTGCTTAAATAACTATGTAACTACACAGCTTTTGAAAAAGCAACAAATATGTTTCTGTGCTGTCAATTGTTATGGCAATTCAGAAATGACAGAAGCGCATCTTCTGCCAGATTGCATTGTTGGAAAACTTAGTGACTGCATGTCATGGAACAGGTTTTCAAGTAAGTCACTCCACACCTGACTTATGATCAACAAGCACACCAAACACAGCACATAACCTCATTGTCAGATGTGTATTGTTTTATTTATTTTATTGGAAGCAATGAAGAAATTATAGCTAAACAAACAAACAGGAAGTCCTTCCTCCAGTGACTTACATGTGCAGTAGAAATGGATAAAAAAAACAACAGCTCAAATGTCATCATCAGTATCAGTGACAAAGTTAAAAATAGAAGCTCCTACCTATCTGGAACTGTGGTTAACTGCACCTTCTGCAGTTTGTGTGGCCCAAACAACCAGAGTTGTGGCTAGTTTTATTTATTTCTAAGTCACAAGGACCAGCTGTCTAATGAAAACTTGGAATTGTCCATTTGACTAAACAGTCAGAGCAGATTGGGCATATTTGCAAGACAAATGGCTATATAAATATATATATATATATATTGTTGTGGAAATTTTATTCTAAAGCACAAGTCTGAGTCCGTCCAAGGGAGTAAGAAATATAAAATGTATTAAAAGGGAAAACTTCATGAAGTAAGAAAAACCAGCACGCTCATACAAGTTGTTCATACGATGAACCACGCCGCTCTAAAGTTAAACAAATCATAGAGCATTTCATACCCCTCCCTGAGTCTGAGGTGAGGAGTAAAGTTTGTCTCTTGAAAGAGAAAAGAGTCCCATGAGAAAGAAAAAGAATCTTCAGAATATATGATCATGGAAACTTTCCCTATAGAAGTGAAGAAAGTGATTATACATATATTGATTGCCCTCACTATATGTGTATATATACATATATACATCCATATATATTTTAGAATATATAGTATTATTGTGTGACTTTTTTGTGTGACTCCCATCTGCAGATAAACAAATTCTTACACTATCAGATGGTGACATTTAAACATTTCCTTTGGTGTATGTATCTTTCAAGAAGCAGGCAGAGGTGGATGTGCGAAGTTGCTGCCTCACAGAGATCAAACAGACCGAAGAGAGATATACAGAGACCCTTGAGTCCATTGAGAAGGTACTGAACATGTATCTATCTGCTATCATCACATGATGTTCATGACATATCTTGAAATTCTGTGTGTAAGACTCCTAAATCGTAATCTGACCAGAAGGAATTGATGCTGTCCTGTTTACAGCATAGCACTCCATTATCTCAGTGCTGCATTGGGTATATTTTAGGGACATTTAAGGGGAAATTCCCAGTAAGCATTTCCCATATTTGCCCCGTTGTCAGACTCTTATCAGATATCAACTGTGACGTTTGTTAAAGGTTTCAGTATTACTATTATCATTAATGTTTATTACAAATTATTAAGAACAAATGTGAACCGAGGTGATTGAAAGTGTTAACTGTTTTTTCCGTTATTTCTCAAGTATTTCCTGAATCCATTAAAGAAGTTCTTTTCAGCGACTGAAATTGACAGGGTATTTGTCAACATTCCAGTAAGTCAAGCTGCCCCCTGATAACATGAAAATGCAGTCAATGTGTAAAGATACTAATACATTTATTCTCAAATACAGGACCTGGTCCAAGTTCACAAGAACCTCTTGGTTGATGTGCAAGATTCCATTCTGAATAATAATGCTTCAAATCTTCACCAAATATTTATCAGCTATAAAGAGAGGTAACAGAGAGGTTTTTCACTACAAGTGGAGTGTTGGTTCCAGCCTACGGTGAAAAGCTACCAGTTTTCAGTGTTTTCTGCAAGCATCCTTTTTGATTCATGCAAGCACTGTTAAGTTTTTGTGTTGTAACTTAAGGTAGAATTTGTGTTTATATTCTTGCTCGTGGAAAAATCAGCTCATAGCATTTTTCAAGGGATGGCTCTCAAAATGTTTTTACCCTCTGGGGCAGTGTTTTGCTCTCCTTATCAGGAATCGTCACGGTCTCACTTCCTTCTCTCTGACTTGTAGATTACTCATTTATGGGATATACTGCAGTCGGGTGGAGACTGCCATTGCTGTTTTAGACTTCATCTGCAAAGAAAAAGAGGATGTTCGCCTGAAACTGGAGGTAAAATCCTCTGAGGAAACTGTCCTCAACAACACCCCAAACTGCACATATATGGTTTTACAGTGACCTCTAGTGTTCACAAATGAAAATGTTTTTGTTTTGAAAAAATATTTTTTTAGATAAGCGTATATATGTTTTTGTGCAAAATATTTAAAAGAATTTGTAAAAAATCTCCCAGTGAAAAGTCTTAAGTCTGACTCAGCAGATCTGCGAATGATTTTGAAGCTTAAAGATTCCAAATTGTATCTTGTCTTATGCTTGTTCAAATATGTGCACTCCATTTTCATTCTAGGAGTGCTCCAAAAGAGCCAACAACGGGAAATTCACACTGAGGGACCTGCTGGTGGTCCCAATGCAGAGAGTTCTAAAGTACCATCTCCTGCTACAGGTACAGATATTTGACTCACTTACCGAAAGGAAAAGCTTGAAAATCATCATAAAAAATGCAAAGTTCAAGTAGTTTATTCAGAGTTGCTTTATTTATGAGATGTTTGTTTTCATTGGCTCACTCTTTATTCTTTTCATAACTCTTTAACTGGGGATTAAAATAAGTATAGCACTATACTTGCTGTTTTCACACTATCCATCCATCCATTATCAATACCGCTTATTCCCTGATGGGATCGCGGGGGGAACTGGAGCCTATCCCAGTGGTCAACGGGCGAGAGGCAGGGTACACCCTGGACAGTTGTTTTCACACTATCATCTCCTTTTATCGTCATTGTTTTAACACTTAGAAAACTCACATATATATACATAAATGAAAGTGCAAACTGCCAACAGGCTGTAAGCCTGTCTCCCAATTGGATGGCAACCCTCAATATTAGGCATGGACAGAGGCAAATGTTCAGTTTATCAACAAAGACAGACAATAAGTGTGGATTGATGACATTATGCATCTTAGCCAATGAAAAGCCCAAATAGACTACATCCATTGAAGACAGTGATCACAGATCTCTAGAATGAGCTTGTGTCATCAGAAGGCATTTTATTTTTTTGCTGCTCTCAGATGAAAAGCAGTGTACATTTTTGGTGAGATGAGAGGTCAGTGGATGATAAATAATTCAGAAAGACCAGCTTAGGGCAACACGGGACAATAACAACCAGGAATTCTGATTGCAACCTGATTAAAAAAAGGATACTGTCCCTGGACAATTTCAGTGTATATATTAAAGAGTCCAGGACCAAGTAAATCCTGAATTTTCAGTTAGAGATAAAAATAGTTCTGTTAAATGTCACGAAGGTGTGGCAGTGTGTCCAAGAATGTAGAAGTGTTTTCATCTCAAATTTGTTCCCACTTAGTCTTCGTAAGGAGTTAATGAGGGAGTTAATAAAATAGCTGTCCATGTAAGCTCATATGGCTGGAAAAAAGTTTATTATTCAAGTTGAACCAATGTTTTTTGGGTCAGTATAGAAGTGAACACTAGATGGAGACATCCTCCATGTGTTGAGAAGTTGCAAAGGTATTTTTATCTAAATCTTGACAATTTAGATAAAAAAAGTACAATAGCTATTTCCCTTGTGGCAAAAGATCATTCAAAGATATCTGAAACTAATATCACTGACTCTACGAACGTCACCTGGTCAGAATCAATTTGCAAGCTTAAATCTGAACATCTGAACAGACAAACTTGAACATCTTTGCAGGACAGGTTTGGCACAATATCTCACTCTTTTGCTTCATTTATAAACTTGACATGTAGCCGACTGATAAACTGTATTACACTGTTCCCCCAGTTTCTTTGAATCAGAGGCAGCGTGGTGGAGGGCAATGCCTGTTTAAACTGTTATAAAGGTTAAAGGAATCCATAGAGAACGGTGTCAAAGCAGGGAAAACTTAGCAGCCCCCTGAGTAGAAACTGTATGATGAGGGTTAAAGGGGAGATAGGTTGGCCGTTTAAGGCTCAGTTGGGAAACGTGACGTGAACATATTAAGTTAATCTCTTAATTTAGAGGTATATCACACCCAAAGTGATTCCACCCACCTTTCATATTAAATATGTGCAATACACAGTGCACCTAATTAAGATTAATTAAATCTGGTTTCTTGTGATATTGTGTTATAAAGTCTGAATTGCAAATATAATATCAGCAAGAGGTGTGATCATAAGCAACATCTTTTTCGAATTAAAAACCAAACATCAATTTTAGAAAAATAACAAGCGTTAATAACAAGCGTTATATCATGAAACAATTTCACGATATGACATATAATTTTCTTACTGTGGAAGCCACATCCATTAGATTTTCTGCACAGATTTCATCAGCAGATTGTTTTCACCGTGCCATTTTGGTAAGGACAACAACTTCCATGTGCTCATTGTGAAAGCAAATGTTTGTTTGTGATTATGTGGACTGGACAAGCATTTTCTTCTTTCTTTATCTTTGTCTGTGAAATAATTTTTGATGTCATCTATAAGTTGTGCAGTGTCATGATAGTCTGTATGCGTGTGTTGTTGTATTTTTAGAAAATGTATTAGTTGGAATATTTAGTGACCAGACAAAGAGAGATGAGTAACATACAATGCTATCACATTATGCTAATCAGTTCTCATTGCATAAACAATGAAAATATATATTTTTTTATTAATTGATTCAATATATTTTAAAATGACTCAATTTATCTCTTTTACTTATTAAATTATTTTTTTACTTTCAAATCAATAATCATAGGACTGAAGCTGAAGGTTTTTGTCCATGCAATTGTTTTTGTGTCTGACTCCTGTAATTTTTCTCTCCTTTCTCTACAACAGGAGCTAGTTAAACATACTTCTGAATCTTCTGATAAGAGCAACTTGAATGAGGCTCTTGTTGCAATGAAAGTAAGTACATTGCTTAAATAGGGCCATTAAATAAGTAAGTATTTACTCACCTGCATTCTGGTCCAACACCTTTGATAAAAACACAGATTGAGGCAACTTTACATTAACGCTGTCTAAACCATCTGAGCACCAAAGCCTGAATGATATCCTTGCTAAGCAGCCAAACATCTCATTATTGCATTATAGTTATAAGAATATTTTGGTCAAACTTTACTCTGGTAAAATACATATAAGTTGGCATATACATACAAGCATGCTAGCAACCAAGAGTCCTCTGAATTGTTTATCCAGTATCATGGTTGCAAACATATATTTCAGCCAGCTCAACCCAGCAAAATGTGTGTTTGCGGCTCTGTCTGTTGCCCAGGACCTCGCTCAGTACGTCAACGAAGTGAAGAGAGATTGTGAGACTCTGAGGGAGATCGATCAATACCAGAGTACCATCGAAAACCTGGTAAACTAAACAAGATCTCTGTCAGCAGCTGTTAAGCTTGGAAGAAATGCAGATAATCAGAAAAACTTCTTGTCACTCAGCTGGTTCAGTTTTCTTTCTTAAATTGGGAGCAAATATGTGTTCATCTTAATGCAGCTTGACATTTTGAGTTCACTAAAACACTTATGTGACGGTAAATAGGTGCACTCGGCATCAGGTGAACGGAACTCAAAAGTTTGAATGGAAAAAATCCTGAATGAAAATGTTATATTTCTCCCTGTTTTGATAGAAATTCTCAAGATTTAAAGGTGCACCATGTTTTGCTAAAACTGAAGATGCACATCAGTTTTAATTGCATGAACAATTCTGATTCAATTAGACTCTTTAATATGATTATGAATAAGCACCCGTGCCTTACCTCCCCCATATTTCTCTTGCAGAATCAGTCTCTTGTCAGTTTTGGTCGGCCAAAAGGAGACGGAGAAGTACGCCTGGTCTCCACCGTTGACAGGAGGAAACAAGACAGGTTGTTTTACTTTAACATCATCGTCTCAAAGGAGAAAGTAGAATTTCAGACAATAATAAAATACTCAAATTTCCCACTGAAAGTTTCTTAATAAATTATAGATATTTAAGAATTGAATAGAATATTTAGGCCAGTTTTAGGTCAACTGGTGCCTTGGTTTTGCTTCTGTTTTCATTTGATGATGGAGTTATCTAATATCTTTTTTTACAGACACATCTTTTTATTTGATGTGGCAGTCGTTGTTTGCAAGAGAAGAGGATACAACTATGAGATGAAGGACATTTTGGATCTTCATGACTTCAAAGTTACCAACAACCCCACATCTGACAGAGAGGGCAAAAAGGTCAGTGGGATGTTAAACTTTGTACCTTACTTTGCAAGACAAAACAAACTTCCATCATTTTAAGAGTTAAGTGTCTACATTCTCAAATAGCATGAGCCAACATTGCTTATGTATGTTATATCTGTTTGGATTCAGAATTTACTGCAAGAATAAACACAATCCTCTACTATGACCTGTGAATGGAGCTTTAACTTTTTCTGGAAAGCCCTGACTTATAAACCTGCAAAGCCTCTTTTCCATCTCCCCTATTTATACAGAGAACCCTTTTTTCACCTTGTGGAAGAATTTGCAAGACATTGTAGTGGAAGGGACTTGTTGATGTCTTGTTGATGGATGCCCACAGATGGTGTCTTCTCACTCCGGTGCTGATTGCTAATGTTATACTGACAGCTAGCCAAAATGGGATATGATTTTTATAAAAGGGACTCTGTGATGATCACCATGCAATGAAATATGCATTTTTTAAATCTATGTTGTATTGATATGCGATACCAAAATGAGCACGATCAGAGCTGAGCATTTACAGTCATTGTCTGGATTTGCTTCACTTTGTGTAGTTTTTTTCATTTTTGCATCTTTTGGTTTTATAGTTTCTACTTTAACACGTCGGAATAATCTAATTCTATATGCACATGATTGTGTATGTCTTTTCCCTGTATTTTCTACCACCATTTTTGTTCCATTAATCATAGAAAGTTTTTATTTAATCCTGCTGCAAGCTGGTGAAAGATTTAATTTGTTGCCAAACCTGTGCACCCATACAAATATTCATACCCTTACTGTGTGCTTACAACAAGAAACACGCACTACAGGACTGAGATGCTAATATCAGGTGATGAATGCTTACAGTCCTGCAAGGCTAATTTGCACTATACGTCTTTTTCTGCTAACTGAAACTCCAGATTTTGAATCTGGTACCACTGGGCTTTACCCGCATAATCATCACTGGTTGAACACCAAGAGGAACTCTAAAACTCTAAGGATTTTCAGGGCTGGATAAACACTGGCGGCAAAATCCAACTGCTTGTTGCACTCCTAGAGTGACAACAAAAGCAGAGACGTTTTGTAATTGAATGAAAAATGTCCTGAAATATACACATGGGTAAGGATTAAAGCTAAGAGTGTTATTATGAAGGTGTTGGGCGACCACAGCTTAAAAAAACATGCTTTTCTGGTTAGCTGATGTATCACTGAAGGGAGAAGGCACGTTTATTTGTTTTGTTCCGCATTTGTCTTAATAGTTTTAACTCCTGTAAGACACAGTTCAAATCTTTGGTTGGGATTTGGCTTACAATAAATATTCCTTAATTTATTACTTTAAAAGCAATTTGGTTTCTCTAAGGAAGATTATCAGACTTTGCCTCAATGTTTTAACATCCATCAGTGTATTTCCATCGGCGCTCTTTGGGTTGAACTCTGGTTAAAACTCCCAGTGCAGCTGCTGCTCTGTTGATGTTGACAAAATCCAACAGACTGAACACTTTGGTTGATCTGCAAGGCTTGTGACGTCCATGACACTAAAGCCAAGGAGGATTGATGACAGCATTAATGGCTGTGTGTCAGGAGCGCGGTGACTTATGCATCCTTTTTGCTTACCTTGCCATTATAAGAACTGAACAAACTAGATGATTAATTTGATTACAATTTAAATGTGTCTCATAATGATTAATCTTTATGTGAGTGGATGAGCATACAGCATTTCATGAATTACCATAAATCAAACCATTTCGTTATGATTGTATGCTATTTATAACTGAACTTTATGGTTGGCATTAAGCTAGTTTGAGAAAATCATTTGGATGAGCAAACCTTTCCTCAGTGTCTATTTAAGGCTTCTATAAAAACTAGATATTTGACAGAGTCGGAGCATAAAAGTATATGGTTTTTTGCAGTATAAACTTCCTTTTCTGAGCAAGTTTAAAAAAAACAACACATTTTGAATAGGATTTCACAATTGAAAATCTTTATGATTCATCTGGACTTGGGGTATATGACAATTCAAATTAAATAAGAGGAATATTTTTTGAATGATGTGTGCATATGTTTTTTAAAATTCTATTTTAGTTTTTTTCTGAATATGAAATGTTGCAATGTCATAATATTCAATGAAAAAGACCACAACATTTTTCTTTTAGATTGACCTCATTGGGGTTTCGGCTTTGATCATTAAAACAGTATATAACATTAACTGACCACACTCACCACATTTAAAATAAGACTATTTCTTGTTCAGGTATAAAAAAAAAACTTATCTTGAGCAGTACTGACGACAACAGTAAAGTGTACACACTTAAGCCTGTAAACACATTACAGAAAAAATTTGGATGGATGTATTGTCATGGTAATCTGTCTCTCTTTTCCCTGCAATCCACAGTGGTGTTATGGGTTCTATTTGACGCACCAGCAGGGCGTCACGGGGTTCGAACTCTTCTTCAAGACCAGAGAACTGAAGAAAAAGTGGCTGGATCAGTTTGAAATGGCCATGTAAGTGCAAGTGTTGTAGCTGTTTGTTAGCCACACTGAGCTCCAGAGCCCTCGCTGTCTATTTGCATGCATGCATGCATGTGTGTGTTTGTTTGTGTGTGTGTTTGTGTGCGTTGTTTATCTGTCTGGTTTTCATGTGTGTTGTTCCAAGGCCAAGAGAGGTGTTGACTCTTTCATGTGTGCTGTTTGTTCAGGTTTAAGCTGTAGTCAAACACACACTGCTAACAAAAGCACAACAACACACAGATACACACACGGACACAGATACATGGGTTAACATAAAGTGTTTTGCAGAGCTGAAAACTACAAAGACGTCACTCTGCCTCGATGATTCATCCATCCAACACGTTATTGAGAAAGAATTATATTGTTTGTATTATTTTGCAACATTTGGAGGACTTTATAAGCAAATATCTTGCCTGTATCCTTTCTAATGCCGATAGGGAGCATACTGACAGCCCTTTGACTGAAAAGATTGAAATACAAATGAAAGGGGGAAAACCTTGATATATGCATCCTGACTGGTCTTGCTGAATACATTCTCATTTCTGGTATGGCTTTGAAAGATCTTTGATATGTTTCCGGTGGTGTGCGGATGGACATAAAAATGGGCTTTTGCTTCCCTTTCTTTAGCTTGAACTCAATGTTTAGCGGTGATGTGAGTTGTACACTCCTAATAGAACCAAGCTCCTGACAGCTGCCCGAAACGTAATGTGTTATTTCTAAAATTTACAAAAAGAAATAAGCATTTCCACTCCAGGGTTTAAAACTGTTTTGACACAGAGAGCCGTCGGGGTTTCTGTTTGAGATAAGCTCTGTGTGCTTCTGTGCATTGGGTAATGACACCAGAAGGGGCCAATTCAGAAAGTGAAAATTGTACCTCTCAAAGAGAATGTGAGCTCCTGATGAAAGACTCACTGATGGGAGCACTCAGTTAAAGGGGCTTCTGGATGGTGTGTTTGATACGGAAAAAGAAGTGTTTCTGTCTGTCAAGTTTCCTCGCATCCCAGCAAAGCTAATTCAACTGTGCACGCTGCCCGTTCCAGACCTTAACACAGGCAGAACGGAATTTAAAACTTCTTTTGCTTGGTGCACTTTGGGTAAAATTCTTTTCATCCTGATTTCAGACCACCCTAGAAGATTGGCCAATCATTAGAACAAGTAACCTGAGCGCATTAGCTGTAAAAATATGGCAGATGGCGGCAAGACCAAGTGACGTGATCACTGAAAAAGAACTTCATTCAGAGACAACCACACAGTATGATGACATCACTCCCCTAATGAACAGCACAGAGCCTTTCAAAAATAGATTAGGAAGGGGTAAAAGGGATTTCAGGGATCCCCTGACCAACAAACTCTCCAGATGCCCATCAGATGGACTCTTATTGCATTGTTGGAAAGAATCCCCAATACTTCAAGACCCTCCTCCCAACCACAGGCTTTATTAAAACAGTTCATACAGAGAGCAATTAGTAATCTAAGGGACTTTACAAGAATGAAAGCACCAATTTCTTGAAACCCCCTGTGATTAGTTAGTTTGTTTTCATAACAGTAGCCCTTTAGTTTGGAGTGCTACCTCCTTAATATTTCAAAGTGGAAGCAATCCATCTTTCATTGATTTTTTCACCGGCCGGACACTGAAATTTGAAGGCAATCTTTGGCTCATTTCCTACGTTTTTGTCACAAGGGTTTAGCTGCATGCAGGAGACTAGCAGCAGGTCCTGAGTTGTTTCATTGGGGAAATAACTGAGTTATCAGGCAGACGTTTCTGCCTCCCAATCACAGAGGGATAACATTTTTCCCACCGACGCTTTTCAAACATTCACTGAGCACATTCTTAAGACTGACAAATCAAACGGACAAATATGTTTCAGAAAGAAAGAAAATACAAATATAAAATTGATGCGTTTTTCTTTCAACTGTCATCCCATTTACTGTCAACAGCAAAATTACACATCCCTCCATGTTCATTTTCACCATCTTTACAACACAAATAAATAACACCTACTTACACTGTCGGAAGTCATATTTGATCCACTGGGATCAAATTTGATCCACTGGGATCAAATGTTTGGATGATTTTTGGAGTGACTTTTAGTTGTGATTAAATGATGCATGCAAATGACTCATTTCACAAAATAGTACAGTTCAGTTTGGATTGTCATCTTATAATCCAAATACTAAGGACTTATAAAGCTGTTACAAAGCACATAAAACTTTTTGCATGTGTTTATCAGGCATTATTATGTAAAAAGGGACTTACAAGTGCGGAATATAGTGTACAGAATGGTTTCTCCTCATGTTGAATCATTTGATCTGATTTCTGCCCTGTCTTAGATCAAATATTCGACCGGAAAAGGCTAATCACAATTCCCACCTGTTCAAAATGCACACATTTGAACGGATCCCTTCCTGCAGCTATTGCCACCTTTTGCTCAGGTAAGATTCAGACGTCAGGAACAGACTGATCTGTTCTGAATAACTATGCACATGTGATGAAATACCAGAAAGTTAAAAATGTTGAACTTGAAGTTCACATACTGTTCTTGAATGGAAGACAGCAGATAAGTTTAATTTAGTCCTTAACTTTTCGATTACTGAAGTAAATATCTATTACTCTGTGATCTCAACTGCTAATGTTGCAGTCTTGGATTTGGCCTTATATTGTCAGTTTTACAGTTTTGGAAAGCTGAAGGACGTTGCCTGTTTCATTTCACTTATCTTGACAGAGTGACAGAAGCAAGAAACCTCTAAATGTCAAGGTGTTTCTCATTTGAATGCTGTTGTGCATGAACTATATCCACTATTTCACTGTCCCCAGGGGCATCTTTAACCAGGGCTATCTCTGTCAGAAATGTGGCCTGGGGGCTCATAAGGAATGTCTAGGTCAACTGGGAGTCTGTGGACAATCAGGTGAGACATAAAACCCTTCAAGACAAGGCTTAAATATGAATTTATATACACAAAATATGAATAACTAAAAGGCAGATCCATGTGGATTTTTCTCTCCACATTAATGCTTCTTCCAGAGTAATCCCTCGTAATTGAATGCACCTTTACCAAATACAACACACTTATATCTAAATTCTTCTCGTATTATAGCCCTCAGAATATCAAGATGTTGTTTTCTTTCTTTGTTTGCCTTGGGGTAAAACCAGGAAGTTGTGTGTCTATTTTCCTTCATTATAACCAATACATAAAGCAAGATAGATGCTGAGACTTTACATTTTGTTCGGTAATGCAGAAATTGAGCCTTGCTGCCATGCCTAGTTTTACGCCTGTGTCATGAGTCCGGTGCCTTAGTTCAGGAGCTGCCCTTTCTGAATTCACAGACAGACAAAGGCAGCCCAGGTCTTTGACAAGCATTTTTAGCAGAAGCACAGTGGTCTTTATGCATTCAGGGGCGTGATGAGGGCCAGCAGAGGTTGACAGCTGAGGTTGTATGTCAAGAAGCCACCACATTCTCATATTGTATTCCTCTCACTGTATGTGTTTCTCACCTGCCAGCAGATCCTGTCAAGCTGAGGCCCAAGGTAAGACCTGAACCCCCTCTCTTCCTTGGCTTAGACATCTAAGGTAACATAATTGGTGAGGCATAACACAGCAGCTGGACTCCTAATCACATGCACACTTATCTGCTGACAAGGAAAGATGAGGAAGGATTTTGTCATCTGCATCAATCAACAATCAAAGCCTTGTTATTTAAATGAATTTGCTGTGCTTATGAGCTGTTTATTCTTGTAGTGCCCAGACGTTGAGGCAGAGAAGCTAATACGATGTGTAGCTAGTGAATAATGAAATACATTTAGCAAAACCTGCACTTCCCTTTAATGTTGTCTGGGATGCTTAAATATATATTTCTTCACTTCTGTAACAGATGTAAAAACAGCTTTCCTTAAATTCAGATTTGATTTAAAAGAATGGGACTAGAGAATAGTGGGGTTGTCAGGTACTGTAATGATCTTGCTGGTATGGTGTCCAGATAAAAAAATGATTTTACAACCCATTATTATGTTAAAAGTTCAGTTTCGAGGTAGCGCCATGAAGTGTCACAAGCATATTGTGGCTTTTTCACAATGGAGGTTGATTTTAGAAGTGGTGTGACTCACTGTGTATATTCTATTATTTGAAGGTTAGCAGCACAATCTGTCTATTACAGTCCCAATACAGAATAATGGAACAGTGAGATATGTGCAAATTAAGCTTTATTATGTGTGCACTTAATGACGTATGCATCAGTTAAAATTCCATGTAAGTAATACAACATAAACATTAAAACAGATGAACATTCCAACTGCATCCATCGTTTTCAAATTCAGACATGGATCAGATTCTCGATCTAGAGCTAAAATGAAGCGAATATAGTAGAACTTTTAAAATTTCTGTTGCATATTCCTGGTTTTCTTCATCGTCTTTCTTCAACATATGTCTAAAATTGAAAAACCAGAACAAAACTTTTGTTCTGCGATAATTAGGTCTGAGCCAGAGCAGCAGCAGGAGCGCTGGTCAGCCAGACTCCTGTCAGCATGAAACAGCTGGGAAATAATTGCACCAGATGATATTCAGTGTTTTTTAAGAAAGTAGGTGGGCTTGACAAAAAGATTTGAAAGGAAGAGACAGACATAGATGGAATTTTAATGATCGAAGTTACATCTTTAGCCATTTACACATCATAAAACTGCCATCCATACAAAGCTTGGTGTTTGCAGTCACTTACCCTATCTGAGCAGGTATTAAGCTTCAAATTAAAAAGAAAGTAAATATTTCAAGGAATGATTACATTTCTCCCTGAAAGAAACTCTGGAATGTTTGTACTGATTAACTTTTAAATAGCTGAAATGAAACGTTTAAAAGGTATGGCAGACTTGTACAGTGGAACTCATGTTTTAGGTCAGCCTGATCTTACACAGGTGCAGAGAACCTTTACATCTATATTTATCAGGGTCTTGTTTTCATCTTTGTTCCACTCATTTTTTGGCTTTTCTTCCATTCACAGGACAGCACAACACCACAACCACCAGGTCAGTATGATTTTGTGAACACGCAGAGAGCTTTTGTAGTTACTCTTAACCTTCTTTTATAACAACTCTGCAGAGGAATATATACAGGATCAACAGGTGGTGGTTACTCTGATTAAAGGTATTTTCTTACATATAGGTTGAGCCTTTATCCAGACTGAGACTCAGAACACATCACACCACAGATCTCAGAGAGATTTAATAGATGACCTAAAGATGTTTTAATTTTTTTCTTAGGTATATTGACATAAAAGGCATTCAAATTAACATTTTTGCTCCCTCTTTCTCCGTTTAAATTTTTTTTTTTAGAACTGACCTAACTAACCTGTTCACACAGAGGGAGGGAGGGAGGGAGGGAAGGAAGGAGGTGGGGGGGGGATTAATAACTGTCATTTTGACAAATATATTTGAGTATGACTAACTAACGGATAATAGATTGCCGAAGGAATCCTTAAACAGAACACAAAGGGAGGCTCTTTTCTCACCACACGCCGTGATGCCTAAACCCTAGACGGCATTGAGATGAATTGGAGTGGGTTGAATCATTATGAGAACCCTGGAGGAGAAATGCTGGCAGAAAAGCACTTCCAGCAGTGTCTGCACCTCAGCCTCAACTGCTGAGCTGTGCCTTTGTGATAAATCCATTTCTATAAGGGGTTTATGAGAAAGGCGGCCGTGCTTATTGTTCTTATTAAAAACATGAATGTGAGATATTCCATTCATCTGAGGTCACCGTCAGCTAATAGTTTCCCCGGGCTGGTTTGCAGGGGAGCTGGAGCTGGAGGGGAGATCTGTCTGAGGTAGGGTAGATATGTGAGTCAGGGGAGAGTAAGTGCTGGTGTCTTTTAAGTTGGCAGGGGTGTTTAGTCTTTGCCTTAGCCCCATGCTTGTGGCTGTGTTTGTCTACCATGCTGAGGAAAGATTGGTGCTGCACTGTTCCAGAATGAAAGAGATGGATTTTGTGCAATGGTAAATTGGTGCTTTTAGGATGCTGGTACTTTAGATTTTGATATATTAAACGGAAAGACCAATATTTGCTGCAGCACATTGGGTTTATGTGTTAGGGATCTATTAATATTGAACCAACAGATAATGAAAACAAAGGAATTTTCTTTGTAATATAGAAATAATTACAGAAATACCCCTTTGTCCAAACTGCAAACAACCATATTATCTACAAAAAGCTGTGACAGTGTGTGAAGCCAATGTTAAGGTCAAATTAAGATTATGTAAAAGGAAGCGATTCAAAAAGCCAATTGGAAATAAAAATCACGTCTTTCAGATATATTTATAGTGAAAGGTTCTTCACTTTTGTGGAAGAATGAACAGAAAAATAGTTTTCAAATTCTTACATCAGGCAGAGAAATGCCTCATAAAGGGCTGGCTGTATTGAATTGTCTTGATCCCCGGAGGGCTGGCATAAGAACTTTGTGTTAAAAAAATATAGTTTTGTATGGGAATCACTACTTAAACTACAAGTTTGAGCAATTACTTCTCCATCCATCTATGTCTAGACCTGCTTATTCCAATTCAGGGATGCAGGTTAATTAAGGTGCTGTTTTTGTTCTATTTTCAGTCCTATATAAAATATAAACCACTGCCTTTATGTTTTGTTTATATTTTACACTGGAACAAAGATTTGAACTTTCCAGCAGACCAAAGTTTTGTTTTTGTTCACTTCTAGCGACTTAACTTTTCAGTTTTCTGAGAGAAAGAAACAGCCTCCTCCTTATTGTGTGACATTCGTGCCATGCATCAGTCAAGCATCCTCAGCATCTTTTGTTCATTTATTCATAAGTGATCTCCAACCACTCCAGTTATGGGAAAGGTTTACTTTTCCCATATTTCGCATAGTGTTGTAATGAAAGATGGAAGTCCCCCCATGTGCAGAATGGTACTTGAAACATTCTGTTTTTTCTGTTTTTTTAAGGTCTACATGCACTCTGCAGTTCCTAGCTGCTTTTTAGACAGTTTTCCTGCACATACACTGATACTAAGTGTTGCCCTCAATCAGTTTCTCACATTAAAGCAAATGATGTTTAATGGTATTTATATGTGATTGTGGTCTCTGTTGGCAAGGTTTACCCAGGATGGTTGTGATCAGAGACTACAGTGGGATCCCCAGTCCTCACTGTGGTCCCCCACTAAGCATTCATGTGGGGGATGTCATTGAGCTCATGTTTGCTGACCTGCACAGCTCCTGGTGGCAGGTGCGTGCTGTTCATCTTTTTCTGTCCTGTGTCTACATCTGTGACTTTATGAAACAAATAACAAATGGGTGATGCAGTTCATTCTGTAAACTTGCTGTGATTGGGGGGGAGTCTGTGTCGCGTGTTAGATCTCCTCTCAAAAGCCTGACACGTCACAGCGTGGAACAGAAAATAAACCTTTCAAAAACGTTTTAGTGAGGTGACATCAACATATTACCTCGCCAGGAAGAACATTTTTGACCGATTGCTTAATGTCTTGTGGTGGTTCCTCGTATTCTGTCCGCTGTCAGATGAGCCTTTATGTGAAATAAAGAGGTCAGAGGCAGTCTAAAACATCAGCTATACAACTAAAATATATGAACACATCCAAACCTCAGTGACATTGCAGATAGAGTATCTGTTTTCTCTTTCACTCTTTAGATTGGATCAAATGATCTAACCAATTAGGGGGCTCAGTTGATTAATTAAGTGTCAAAGTGAAACAATAAAACAACAGATACTTCAGCCTCTGGGGAATGCTTTAACGATGGAGCACAACCTAGTGTTCTGGCACATTTAGTAACCCCCTCACGATGTCAGCCAGCGGTTGAGGGTGTTTGACCTTATCTGTTTTTGAGAGGGTAGCGATTTATCTGTGGTCTTCCGGCAGACTCCCTTGCTGTTTCTCACTCTGCTTTATGACGGCATTAAAGCCTCATCCTCCTTCTGGTGCTGCTCCAATCAGACTGCAGTCTTTGCCAGCAGCACGGCTGGGAGTGGGCAGTTGGCCTAATTTTCCGCTCTCCGTGTTTCTCTCTGTTGTGACATAGCACAAGGTAGAGGGTGAGGACATGAATGCCAGGAGATTTCTTGTAATCTTGCTGAATGGCGATCAGAATGTCATGCCCCAGACCTGATGGCAATGTATTGCTTGGTACCATGGTAACGGTGCATGCTGGAAAAGGAAAACCTGAGTAATGTGATGACACATATTAGATTATTCCTGCCAGCTGTTTAATGAAAATAGCCACTAGTTATTGTGATGTATAGCATAGTGAGCAAAATTGTCATATCTTCTGTTGACATTTAGTTAAGATGAATCGTAACCCATGTCAAATCGGGGAATGTCGATTAAACAATACAGGCAATATAAAAACAAAACAAAAACATCCTAGACCTTGTTTACCTTGTTTCAAATAAGCCCTAAAGATGCAACAAATATACTATGCACCATTATTTTGGGAAGGTTTTTTGCTTTATTTGTAAAATTCCATTCAAGTCAAAGCCTGAGATGTCAGTCACTTGCTGTAATTCCTTTAATGTATGTGTATTTTCAATCTGCACTGACAAATGTAAAAAAACTAAACAAAAAAACTGTAAAACAGTTTATGCACCAGATGTAAAACTTGTATCACTAAAAATCAGGTACTGCAAGTGTCACTTTCAGAGAGCAAATGATGAATCACAGAAATCCTGATATAGAAAAGCAGCAGCACTTGCATTTCTGTGACTGTGCCTTTATTCTCACTGGTGGAATGAGTTACAACACATTCATCTAATTGGAAATGTACCAATCAGAATTGAAATCTTGTTTAATAAGTCTAATTATACAGTGTAAGTTATAGAACTATTCCTGTTTTATGTGACAAGGGGTGATGTAATGTTGATGCAAATCACAGCTGGTGGCCGTAATGAACTGTTAAATGCCATATAATTCATTAAAAGAAAAAAATGTGTCTATATTTCAATGAACAGAATACATTTTCAAAGCGTCTAATAAACGCTTTTGTTTCAACAAGGTTGTTGGGTCTTACAGTTATACACAATACGATTTGGTAAGAAACACTGCATCTTAACAAAACCAGGTTTGTTTACAATGAAAACTCCACAGGGCACCTTTAATCTTCAGCGTCCCCAGTGGCGCCAGAGGATGGAATTACAGAACATTGAGAATTCATATCCCCTGTTACCCAGAAGGCAATTATCCCCCATCCCCTTGGCAGAACAATACAATCAATCACTGTAATTTCATTTGATCCTCTGGCTGCTGCCTGTTTATGCCAACAGAGTAATAAGTTTAATCTTTATCATACGCTTATCGAAAGCATAACAAATGGAGAGGGGCTCTCAAAAAACCTTTGATGAAATGTTATTACACTGAATGAATCATAGAGGTAGGTAAAGATTTGCTTTCCAATCTAGTTACTGGGGCTTGCATGGCCCCAAAAAGCATTTCATACCCTAACAAAGAGGAGCGCAGAGGGAAAAATAAACAGGGCAGGAAACTGAATGAAGAGCCCGACATGCACTCAACGCTTCTTGTCTTCTCAGATTTACTCAATGGACTTCAAATTGACCCCGAACTCAGGGCAGGAAATTCAGATAATCTGTAGCTTAATACTACGAAATAATATACATGATGGGGAGTTTAGGTTACAAAATAAACTGACCTGCCTCTATAAGAAATGATCAGTTTTGCCATTTCAGCTTAGTTAGGTGGACACACAGATTTGGCTATTATACGTGTGTTGAACAAATTATCAGTGTTCATATTTTTCTTTGTTTTTAAATATAAAGACCGTCGTTGCTTCTGGCAGGTGTTCTAAAAGCAGTTCTGAGTAAGAGAGTGCCCACTGTTTAGATATTCAAAGACCAGAATAATATCCATTATTTGGCTCTTGTTTTGATGCAGCGTAAATCTAACTGCCGGCAGAGTTTGAACCATAATTAACTTGGGCTGCAAATTAGATGTGCTGCTCATTGTGTACTAATTGCCGAGGATTTATTGAGGCAAGAGTAGGAGGGGAAGAGAGAATGAATAGAGGGAGAGAGGAAGAAGTGTGGTCTATCCCAAACAAATATAATGTGATTAACAAGCAGTTACCATTGCAGGGTAAAATTCTGACTACAGGCAAGATTGGCTTCTTTCCAAGTGATGCTGTGAGGCCTTGCCCATGTGTAAGTGTACGTGTTTATCAAAATCAATAAGGCTAAATTTAGAGTTATTACAATGCATTCAGTGGATAATGGATACTATTGATGTGTTGGCAAAGAGATTTAATGCTTTGGATCACAGTTTTTTTCTGCTGTTGAAGATGTATTTTAACCATTAGAGAATATCACATTATCATAAATGACATCTACCCTCTGTATCGACCCCATTTAAATGTGAAATAACCACCATTTTTTCAAACGCTAGGTTCCAAAACGTGTCGATTATTCCGCCCAGTTATGGTAAGTGTAAAAAAAAAGTTGAGATTATGTAGAGTGAGCCCAGTTATTCTTATGTCGTATTATTGATTTAACTGAATGTTCTCATCCACATGTTAAGAATGACTGATCGCAGTGTAAGTGCAGTAGTTGTTCATGGATGGTTCAGGTTTGCAGGACCCATGGAGAGATACCAGGCTGAGCTGGAGCTCCAGGACAGAGGAAACAGCACTTACCTCATTCGGCACAGGAGTAAAGAGTGCAACGAATATGCAATCAGTATAAAGTAAGTGACAAGACATTTCTTTGTATTTATCTCAGTATCAAATCTAAAAAACTAATTAAATTTACCACAAATAGTAACATAAGCAAAGCATGTGCAGTCAACAGCAAAACCACCTTTTTGTGAAAAGCAAGAAACAGTTTGCAAAAATGCATTTAAAAAAATCCCCTACGCGGAAATACAATCTCTGAAGTATTCTGAAGCAGAGGGAGATCATGCTGTTATATATATGTGTAAACAACAAACAAACAAACAAAAGAACAATAATTAATAATGACTATACAGTCACAAATACCTTTTAATTAAAGAATGAGAAATGATTGCCCAGACAATGTCAAAATTAGACAAGGCATGTAAAAAACAAACAAACAATAAACATTTAATGCAACAAACTATCTTCCCTGTACTCGGTAAACTGGAGTTTTTTTAAATCAGAAAGTATTGCTTTACAGCTCAGCACTCATAATCCATTCTCCCTTTCATGGGCTCAGCAGTAGCTTTTTATTTGATTTAATTTCTTATTAAGCAAGCTACTTCGTTAGGGTACAACATTTCTCTGATGTTTCATATAAAACCTCAATTTTTAGGGTATCTGTCAAGGGATAAGATATTTTTAGCAAATGCACTGGAAATACAAAATGTGTAAGAATCTTTGCCACTTTGATAAGGGCCAAATTACAATGTCTGGACGACAGAGCTTTTCCAGAACAGCAGGTCTTATGGGTTGTATGCAGTTCTTATCTCCTGCTAAATGTCATCTGAGGAAGGGCAGCCAGTGAGCCGGCTAAGAACCATGTGTGTAAGGAGCAAAGGCAGTCAGATCCTAGAGATACCACTAAAGAGCCGGTTGCTAAAAAACCTTAATCCGGTCGGTGACAGAAAGGTGTCAGGTCACAGAGTGAACCACGGTGTGGTTCACTAATGGCTTGTACAGCTGCATACCGGTCAGTGTGCCCATGCTGAGCCCTATCCAACACTGAAATCACCTATAATGAACATGTGAGTGCCAGAATTGGATCAATTGTTGGAACAATGGAAACGGGTCGCTTGGTCTGGTGAATCTCACCGCCTTACCTTTCTTTCTTTTACTTTTGGTGGATGTCTGGGAAAGAGGTGCCAGCGGGATGCACTGTGGGATACGCCAGGCTGGTGGAGGCAGCCTTCCCTTTTTGTTATTATAGGGATTTGACTTTGATGCAAAAACTCTAAACATTGTTACAGTCCATGCATGACTCCTCATGGCATCATTGTTTCTTAATGCCAGTGACCTCTTTCAGCAGGATAATGCCCCCCACTACACTGCAGAAATAGAGTTTAGGTTGTTAGCTTGGCCTCCCAATCCCCCAGTTGTCAGTCCAATAGAGAAAATCTAGTAGTTTGAGTAATTTCTTAGTAGTTTAGCAACCCCTAATGTTTCTTTTGACAGTAAGCTGTGATAGTTGAGGTTACCAAGAATTGTTCAACGATGCATTTGATCAGTGTTATGGTTATATGAAGCCCAGTGTGACACAATAAGACACAAGCGATCTACAATGAAAATCGCACCACGTTCAAATTATGTCCATGTTACATATATAACATGGCAGCATGCCCTTGCTGAACAGACATCAATTAATCTAATTGTTATAGCATAAAAAAAATCCATTATAGATTATCCGGAAATTTAGGGAAAGAGATTCTGAAAAGAAATGTTCCTGAAGATGATTTCAGCATTTTTATTTCTCTGTGCTCTTAACATAGAACTTTTGTGGCTCATACTGTGCACCGTTGGTGAAGGCAACATGGGGAAGGAATGAGATTTGAAGTCTTTGTCTCCGGCATTTGCTATTTTTTTTAGCTTTTCATATCATTTGCTGTACCATGGCTCACTCACAGACTCCTAGAAATGTATTTCAAAAGAAGACGAGAAGACACACTTAAATTGTAACTCCCACATACATCTATTGAAGCCCCAGTAAAAGACAGCTTCATCTTCAAGTTAAGTGCCTGTGTGTCCCTCTTTTGAAATGCAACATTGTCTGTTTGACTAGTTAATATCTTCCAAGTCACATCAAAGGCTGTTCATCCTTTATTAACAAAAAGGAAAAGAACAATTCTGTCCATGGGACCTGGAATGACGGCTGCAAGAGATTATAACGATGGACAGAATGCTCTGAGCGAGTGTTTGGATGTTAAGACTATTTAGCCAGTGACACTATTCCAGCCCATTTAGTTTGGTAGACTCATATGGTTACTCATTCATAGCTTTGATCTACAGAGCCAGTTGCTGAACACTCCGATACTAATTGCCTGTCTTGGTGCTTAAGATCATTATCACGATGGCTGTTTCAGATAATGGAGCTTTATACAGACGGCTCTTGCTAATCAACTGGAGCAGTCTAATGTCAAATACTTCACATGGCCAGTTTGTGCAAGTGTGTATGTAAGTGTATGCATGTGTGCTGAATGATGTTTGTGTGTATGTGCAGCCTTGGGAGATCATAGGCGAAAAAGAGGCCTTGCGCCTTGAAAAAAGGGCCTCATCTTTCTCTATGCATTATCCTGCTTAAAACTCAGCACCTATCAATAATGTATGAGACCCCATATTTTAATAATGCATTAGTGAATTTGCAACATAACTGTATTCTTGTCCTTAGTCATACCACACACTGGGATGTTTACAATAAATATCTGTCAGCCGTATAGCTTCCAAATCACCATATGGGAGATGAGCTGTATACAGATCACAGTTTGATCTGTATATAGTGGCATGACAATTCACCTCCTCCTTTTCATATAAATAGGTACTTGATTAGGCCTGAAAGGACACTGCTGCTTTTGTATGTATGTTCTGACCAATTTAGTGTATATATTTCCAAGGTTAGTCATTTTAATATTCCCGATAGTAAGCTATTTGTTTTTTTTACAAAACCTAGCTATGTAAAAATGTTATGTAGTAAGCCATTTGTCATTATAAGTTTATTTGACAGATTTATTTCACAGGCTGACAATGTTTGATTTCTAGGATTCTTTTCCTGTTTGATTTATGGTAGTCATTGCATTCCAAATATTCCAACAAAATGATCTAAGTTTGCAGTGTTGGCTAAAACATCCCTTTACTGTACAACAAACCATAAACATGTGCTATCTCTGCCTCCCACGTAGTCTGTAAAAAGCTTTAAAATGTAGTACAAACACACATTTTTGTTTTCATACATCTAAATATTGTTCTCCAACTTTGATACTGGGCCTATTGTCCTATTATATTGTTATTGAAGCTGCTATTTATTTTCGATGGTAACAGTGTTTAAAAGGGGCCAATTGTAAGAATTGTTGTTCCTTGTTATTTTACATAAACTGCAAGGCATTAGGGGAGAGAGTGCAAAATCCTGGAAACTTCCTTTGATTGTGTTTAGCTCTTAGGCTTACGTCATTTCAAAATTTGATTGCTTTGACAAAAGCTAAACAAATAAATAAACAAATGCATGCATAAGCCTGCAAATGCATGCATTTGATCAACGGAATCCCACAACACTCACATTGTTTCAGGCAGTAAAGCCAATGATTTATCCAAATGTTATTCTGCTCTCCATTTAGCCTCCCCACAGCTTACAAAGTGTGCCTATTGTCAATTTGGTAAATTAATTTAGCGCTATAATAAGTCCAAAAAGTGCATAATACATTGTATGACTAGTCACTATAACCAGAAAAGTTAGTCATCAAATTGGAAAAACATTTTTGTCAATGGTGCCAAATGTCACTTTTCCAAAAGTACAACAATGACGCACAGTGGGTCTTTAGTTTATTAGCTAGTGACATACAATATGAATCATAAATTATTTATATTTGGAATTATTTTGTGTCTGCTATGAAAAGCAACTTCTGTTCATTGTGTTTTTATAGTCCAAAAACAAAAAAAGAAAAAATAAGAAAAAGTTGGTCAGTTGGAAATCCAGTGAGGCCTGAAACATAGAACTTGATCACTTGCACATGCTTTGAAGATGCAACAGCTGCATTCCACTTCAATAAAGTTTAGGCTTAGATTTAATCAGTAAGGGTTTGGCTACTTAGAAATAAGTCAAATTTTTTGTCCAATCCTGAGTGAGTCAAGATCAGCATATTTTATGATCAGGTTCATTTCCAGTTTATTTAAAAATAGGTTTTTTAAGTTTATTTGTGTACTTTTATTTATAGATCCATCTTTCATTTAGTAGATAGGCAATGGTCACTTCTTTGATCATACTTTGCAGTAACAAGAAAAATAAGGAAAAATCTGAAAAAATAGTCTTTTAATAGCCCCACAAACACACTGAAGGGTTTAAACTTAGTATTGATAAATCACGGAGTGCTCCATGAAGAGTTAACTGATAAATGATTTGGAGCTGATATACCCCAGAAAAGAAAACCAGAGGTGTTTGTGTGCAAGAAAGTTGCTTGGCTCAGCATGACAGCTCGCTTGTCAGCTCAGACAGACCTCCATGAGAGTTCACCAGAGAGACCAGACTGATGTGGAAGCATGTATTGTTGATTAGCAGCCCATGTCTTATTCATCCCCCTCAGGTTCAACGATAAAGTCAAGCACATTAAGATTCTGACCAAGGATGGGGGCTTTTATATTGCCGAGAGTCGACTATTCAAGACTGTGCTGGTAAGGACTTTGACTTCATATAGTTTTTTTTTCTGCCCAGGAAACTGCTGCGGTGTAAAAAAAAGTATAATAATTTGACTTTACATTTTGCAACACTCTGGTGATGTAAATACTGTTTTCAACCAAGTAAAGATCTTTTGCCTTGTTCATAAATGATAATGTACCCATGTGTCATTGATTTGATTATTTTTGTTCATGCTCAAAAAGCAATAAGATCACATTGTTAGCAACTCCCTGTGGCATTGGTCAGGAGTAGTTTTTTGTTTTTTGTTCTCAGTCACTGAAAAGGGCAGTTGCAGATGGATACTACAATGAGTATCAAGTCATGTAAAAATCATACTAGTATCTTCCTAAAATGACTTTCACGCACCTATCTGAATTTGTTTCTATACATCCATCCTTCCATCCATTATTATTACTGCTTATTCCCTAATGGGGTCGCAGGGAGAACTGGAGTCTATCCCAGTGGTCAATGTTTCTATATATTTTTACTAAATCCTCTGGTTTTACTCTGATTCATAGGTGTGAAGGTTGATATTTTTTTCTTCTTGGGCTTGTTTTACACAGGATTTGGTTGAGTACTACAAACAGCATTCACTAAAGGAGGGTTTCAGCAGCTTTGACACCACTCTGCAGGTTCCCTACAGGGAGGTGTCCAATGGAAACATGCCCAGGGCCATTACCAAGGTTGGCAGTGGTGAGTTTTCTTCACAAACATCCAGGTTTCTTCTGTGACACTATCTGCCTCACAGGTGATACAATCATAGATCTGATCTTGCTCCATTTTTACCTGAAATACACTCAGGGTATTTGTTTAGACCTGGTTCAAGATTTCTTAGCTTTTGCTCCAAAAATAAAAAAAATGAAAAAAGAAGAAAAAAGAAAAGAAAAGGAAAGAAAGAGAAATCGGATAGTCCATTTGCACAAAAAACCACAAATAAATGCTTAGAAAACCATTTCTAATCATAATATAAAATATCTTATAATAGTTATAAAGTATTTGGGATTTGCATGCTCATTTCCAATAAAGGAAATTTAAATGCTTGTTGATCAGTTGATCCATTACATACAGCTGAATATCCCACTTCATGTCATGGGTCGTCGAGGATGAGTTGGGCTTAAAAGAGTAGATTGGCATTAAATGTTGAAGGAAAACGAATAAAAAAAAAAAACTCCAGAAAACAAAACAAAATGAAGTAACACCACCACCTCAATAAGACAAGAACTGAGAATATGCTTCAGGAAGACATGAAGCATAACAAACAAGAAGTTTTTAACACTGAGGAGAATTGATTGGTGAGCGGTCGTAGGTAAGGGTAATGGACAGGTGTGGTAGGGTAATGGACAGGTGTGACAGTGGAGCTAATGACCAGAACAGGAGGGAATATGGCAATGCAAACAAAGTGCAGAAAACAAGTAATACAAGCAAACACAGAACATAAAAACAATTTCTAGGTCATTGCACAGCATGATAAAGAACAGTAACAGGCTTTACTGTACATATAGCCACATAATTATTTGTCCCCAATCTTTACCTGTTCACATGGTTGGTTCATCTCAAAGCAGGACAGGAAATACACTTTTTAAAAATCAGAAATCGGCAGAACACTTTCAGGTTGAATGTATACAGAAATATAAAGAAGTCTAAGTTAAAAATGTTGCATATGTAGTTTACTCGAATGATTTGGATCCTTTCTTTATTCATGTTAAAGCTGAGATTTCAAATACCAATTGTCTATTAAGAGACCTATGTGTTAAATATTTGTGGGATAATAAGAGCTCCCATGATTATAATTTGAGATTCAGAAAAGTAGCTTTGAGAATGCACCTTAAAAAACACTCGACTGACTGAACATGTCCACTGACATGGTGACAACATGAGGCCCTGTTCTCTGCTGGAGTGGATGCAGCACAGCGGTGATCCAGGAAACAAGAACACAAATCTTCAGGAGAGAGAAAAGTTCAGTTGAACACATCCCCATCATAGCAAAAATATTGTATTTAAACAAAACTACAATTCTTTTCCCAAAACAATTATGTTGCCTCTCTGTTCATATTTATTGAGTCGAAACTTAAAATCTGTTGTAACCTTAATTATGTTACACAAAAATACCAACTGGTGGATGTTTTCAGACTGGAAATTCATCAACAAACAAGAGTACTACACCATGCTTGTTTTGTCATTTTTGAGGAGGATCAGATCTTGTTGACTACACTACCAATGACTCCTGTCTGAGCCCAATTAAACTTATTAAAGCAAGAAGTGAGAATGTGAGGGCTTAGATATTTAATGCAGCAGAGTAACCTAATTTTATTCCTTGAGAAAGAGCACATGATAAATTGTGGTAGGTTTCCCTGGAAGATACGACTCATGCAGATTGTAGTGAACACAAATGCCTCTTATGACCTATACTATTGTGTGTGAACGTGGCATGAAAAATGAAGACTGCAGGGTTTGCTGCTGGGTGTCAAACAAAAATAATCAATTGATATTTATATTAAATCAGTTTCAGTAGAACCTGGTGGCGATTCAGTGGCGAGCGTTTTTGATCATTACGTATTAAATGGACATAATGAGATAATTACAAAACACTGAACCTGTCTAAGATCATTTGGATTCTTTTGATCGATGAGAAAATTCAGTCAGACACCAATGTGACCAACTCTCACACAGACCGAATGAAGCATTCTCTGAGGACTGTATTGCTGAAGTATTGCATGATGAAGCAGTAATTCATGGCCATGAGCAGTGCAAAGCATCGTCTTTGAACACAACCTGTCGGCCTTGACAAGCATGCATGTATGGATGGTTGTGCTTAAACTCAGCATTTCCACTCACTGCATCATTTCTCCTCTTCACAGGTAGTGGGTCATGCTTGCATGTAAATGATAACAAACAGCATTTTTAGGAATAGGATTAGAATTGGTGAAATGTTATTGAAGGGGAGTTTGAGTGTGAGGGAGAGAAAGTGCAGAAAAAATGTTATGGACACATTAAAATAAGAAGAAAGAGGGCAAGAAAGACCATACAGTTCGACTTGGTGTCTAGTTGTACCATGTCTGCATCTGTTACAAATGCTTAGATTGACAAATATACAAACAAACAAAACAATACAATTAAATGTACAGCCTGCTGGTGTAACTTTGTTAATCTGTCATATTGTGTTTGTAATGCACTCATGTACATTTGCTTCTCAAATGTGTTTCCTTAAGCGTTCTCTTACTGCCTGCTAAAAACTTAAATGGCTTTAAATAAAAAAAAAAACAATACGACATGGAAGTAGAGAGTATGGGCGACAGAAAGAGAGCATAAGACAAAAGGGAGTCTGGGAAATACAGCGACTGAGGAAAACCACGAGGAGCCTGAGCACCTCGCCAGGCATGCCAGGGAGGTCCCAGTTAGGGCTCAGCGCCTCAGGCAAGCACCAGGAGCCTTTTTCTCCAAAACGTCATACTCCGCACTCCTGAGATGGCTTCACAATTTTCCTGACAGGACATGACATTTCACTTGGGCTGGCTGCTGAAAAAAAAACGGTGTGACAGCCGCCTGCTGACACGTACCTGAGGGAATACCCCTGGTCCAACCGAGAGACCGCGCATTCTCCCGCAAAACTGGGAAAAAGTTTGCAAATATGATCTGATCTAAAAGAGCAGAAAGCAGCTGGAGGTAAACTGTCTTAACTTGAAGACAGGCGCGTGTGTAAACAACCGGCGGCGGAGGCGAGCAGCCGAGCCGATGTCTGCTAAAACAAAGTCAAAGTTGGCCCTTTTGTGTCAGTCGGATTTAAAATTCTGCTGCATCCTCGTCCCTCAGCCCGCGTTGGCAGCGATGGCCTCCTCCTGCATCAGGCATCAAAGCGGCTCTCTAAGAGGTGCTTTTGTGTGCGGCTGCCATTCACTGCGGTGCTTTCTCTCTCGAAGCCTTGACAGACCTGCCGCTGCCGCAGAGCATTCAGGGCTTGATTATTATTACCTTAAGTTGTCCACCCCCATAGACAGACTCGGTGTGGGCATTGCATTCTGTCTGATGAACGGCTTCTGTGAAGGAACAGATGTCATGCGGAAGCACGATGAAAAGGTCTGCATCTCAAAACATACACCATATTGCAAGAAAAGTGGAATGCTAGGCTGAGCAAACAATCACAAGACGCAAAACTAATGAAAAGCAATCAATGCTGCGGAGTAATGAGTGTGGAGAAACCCAGAAAGCACCTTTAATTAACTGGGACTGTGCTTTTTATCATGAATGTAAAAATTATTTGCATTTAATGTCTTTCAGGAAGGTCAGCCTGTCATGAAGAATTTATGTGAATTTTGGCCACGGTTTTGTTTTCTTATCAAAGTTAATGTGGATGTTTCCGAAAATATGATTAATATTGGAGGAGTTATTAGAGGAACTCAAAGCCACGTTAATTTATGATTTTTTTTCTCTAAAAAAATCCAGCAGCTTTTAAAGTTGCTTCAGTTTTCAAGTTGCAATTGATTTTTACAGTAAAACAGGTGGGATGGTGAAATTAAATGAAACCTTTCAATATTTAATTCACCTAAACGTTTATTTAATTTAATCACATGTGTTACTTTAAAATAGAAGATGATAAGTGAAGAATAGTTTAGTCAGACAATTTGCTTGTGTTGGCCACGGCCTGTAGGGGGGAAGAAAAAGGCATTACTGAATAAATGGAAGGGGGTGTTTACTCAGCATGTGGCACACATTGGTTTTGGTTCTGGAGCAGACTGTGTCCTTGGTGGTGTGGAATCCTTGTCAGGGCACCTTGCTGTTTTCAGACATACACTTATCCAATTGCAGCTAAAATTATGTAGAAAAATTACAATGCACTTAGTTGAAATCATGAATAGAATGAGATGGAGCTAAAACAAGCTATAAAAAATTCCAGTGAAGATCAAAAAGGTTTCACAAATGTGTGTGTAGCAGGTGAAATGATGATTTTTCCGATGGCCTCACTGCCTTGCTCTCTTTTTGCACTGCACTATTTGGCTTTTCCTTGTTTTTTTTGTTTGCTTTGACAGCTTTTCCGCTTTCTCTCACACACTTTTTTTTCTGTCAAACTTGTGTTTACTTTGCTCATGTTCTCTTTCTGCTCCCTCTATGGCCTAAACCCACCCCCACCCCCTCTACCTCCCTCATCATTTGCTACGTTTCTCTGTAGTTCTTCCTGACGGCTGCAGCTTTGTTCCTCCCTCCTCTTCGCCTTTTTGGTCAGGTACAGGTGCTGCTTTTCTGCTCTCTTTGTCTGCTTCTCGCTGTTTACCCAAACTTCTAGGTTTCAGAAGACTTTTTTATCCTGTCTTTATTAAAAGATGTTACCTTGCTTGTTTGCTTCTAAGTCATATTTCATAATATGTAGCAGTCACCATGTCGATAATTTAATTCTTCTTACAAATTACAATGAAATTATTCACAATTATTGAAGTTACGATGTACTAAAACTTCTTTGGAAAATATTTTTTGCAGCGCAAATACAGCCACTGCCTCCCTTCAGCTAGTGGATTTAATTTAGGAATGATGACAGAAATAACTGCCAAATATGTTGAGATGGGAAAGCAAGCAATGATTGCATCATCTTGAAATAATGAGTGAGAAGAGATATAGCTTTTTTTTCCATTTTCACTGTGCAGGCATTTGGTAAAAGAGGAACAGAGTCTAATAAGAATACTTTCTTTTTGTGTGCCTCTGAGCACGTGCAAATACTATACATGCATGCATGTATTTGTGGGGCTTAGCGTTTCCGTTCCATGATGTGCCTCTCTGTGCATGATAGAGTGAATTCATTCTTTTCATCCAGCATATTTCCACAGTTGTGTCATCTGTATTTTTGCAGATAAAGTAAACAAACCTTTGCACACCTGTGCTCACATGTGATATGAGCCCTGACCTGCATGTGTAGGAATAATCTTGTTAAGCTCGATAAGTGAGAATGGGTTTCCTGAGCTAACTTTAATATCAGCTTTCTATAAGTTCAAAACATGACCATGACAACCTCTGGCCTCTCATCTTTACTCTGCCCCAACAAGTTGGACTATTCAATGTTTCTCTATTCATGCTTGGGAACTTTTTTTTCATTCTATTTGCTTCAATACCTTGCATGACTCAAGTCCATGAGTCAAAGCTATTTTTTTTAACCTTTTTATCCATTTCCATAGTCACTTTCCTGTGAGACACCAATTTAAAAGAATAGTAAATAAATCTAATACAAAAAGGTTTAAACTTTGATATAATAATGATAATAAATGAAAGCTGGACAAGCAAAATTCAATCAAACTAATATTACACTCTGTATATGTATTCTCTTACAATGAATGTAAGAGCATGTTCAATCCCAGCCGTCAAAACAGCCCTGTGAATCAAATCAGATTAATGTTTGCATGCTGTACTCAATCCCTTTGTAGCCTGAATATTTCTCTAGATCACCCTATGAATTGTGTTGTGAAAAAATACAAAAATGTCTGATGTATTGCCACCAAAATAATATGTCTCTCTGTCTCAGTCTTTTCTCCTAGAGTAGTTGGTATTGCAGTGGCGCGTTACAATTTCAACTCCAGAGACGCACACGAGCTCTCTCTGCTGCAGGGAGACATTATCAAGATCCACACCAAGGTGTCCAGTGGATGGTGGAAGGGAGAAGTCAATGGCAGGGTGGGTCTGTGGCAAAATATCATATGTGGTTTGCATTTCTATGAAGCAGTTTTAATTGATTTAATTAACTATCAAAACATGTATGACATTTATGGGATTAATCTTTACTGTTCTTTACAATGCAAAGTGTGAAACCACTGTGTGAAACCACTGTAGCAACATGAATCTGTTTTTTTCAGTCCTGAAAGTGGATAAAGAGCAATCAAAGACCAGCCGTGGGAAAATACTTTGAACTGGATTTTGATTAGGTCCTATTCTAACACCTAACACCAGGAGCAATGAGAGTGCCGAAATGTTCAGAATGTGGTGATTTTCACTCTGACTCCCCGGTGAACAGATTCGAGCATTAATAAGAGCTGTAGTGCACACTGGCATATTTCAATGTGGTGTCAAGGGGACTGGTTCTCAACAAATTAGTCAGCAAAACACTTAATGGTCATCGTTTTGTTTATATCAACCACAGAAAGTCAGTGTTCCTAACTTACATCTAGGCAACGCTCATGTCATCTTTGATGATTATGTTGTGCTTAAGGACAGTTTAGTGGTAAGAATATGAAAGAAAGTTTGCAGGTGGATGGATGGATGTGTGTGACACAGCAGCTGAGAAAAGCGCACACACACATGACTTAGACTTTGCCATTCCCAAATGTTTTTAACCAGTCTTGTTTGCCTTTTTTATTGCTTTGCTGCACAACTCACTTATAATCTGATGATGTGCACTCTTTGTGACTTATGTAAAAATGTTTCCCCCCCTTTCAAATTCATGCAGAGAAAGTTTTCAAGAGTGCCATGTAAAGCATATGTCCAATTTGTGTCAGCTGCCAGGTCATTGCTCTCTGTTGCTGTTTCTCAGGTGGGCTGGTTTCCCTCTAACTATGTGGATGAAGAGGAATGACAGAGTGAGCTGAATCGTGTCTACTCGGCGTCTGCTGACACCTGACCACCTTCGATGCACGCAAGGTTGCTCTGCTACTACAAGACAGATCTCTCTGACAAAACTCTTCGGTCTCAGACACGAGGGAAGGCGGCAGTGCCCCTTAAAAAGTCCCTATGCAGAACTATCACATGAGGATTTGGGCTGTCAAATTAGAGACTCCGGGATTGTCATACCGAAATTTGCCCCTCGGTGGCTCTGTCTGTCCCCACGGATCTCCAGACAAAACGTGTGCTGATAACTCTCCTCCCTCTATTCCCTATCACTTTCTCTTATAATTGATGACTCAATTGGCAGCTGTAAGAATTGTCTTTCCTGTCATCATGTTTCGACACCAGGAAGGCTCAGTCACCCAGCGAGAGCCGAGATCCTGCTGACGTTACATTAAAAGGAAGAGCCGAGGAGATTTGACTTTGGCTGGAACACTGACACCCCCTCGACTCCAGGACTTCATAATTTGTTTTCAGATTTTAGATTTGGATTTGTATAAACCACAAACACTGGATGGATACAAACCTCCTTTAAATGCATTAAATTCAACATGATTTGACAATATATTTAAAAAAAAGAATGTCTGTTAGAATTACAGTCTATATAGTATCATTCTGTCCTGTGTTCAGTGTGACTGAAGGTTGGACTTATCTGGACTGGATGCAGTTCCTGCAAAGTGTGGAAAGTTGCAGGCAGGAAACCGGTAAAGTGTGACGATCTGAAAAACACTGTTGCTTATTCCCACATTCACAGATATGCTTACATATCAGAAGTTCTTTGTTGCCAGTGGGAACAACGTGGGATTGAACCAGATCGTTTGAGCATATTGAAATTTCTGTGGAAAACTGCACCGCCATCTGAACCTCTGCTGTTCATTATTGGATAAAAACACTTTAAAAGCTGTCTAACCTATAATGTAATAGCACAACGTTATCAAATATACAATCAGACGTGCACAAAATGAGTTGTCTGTGGTGAGATGTGTGGTGTGTCTTTTAAGAAGTCCCTGTGGAAACCTTTTTGCATTCTACAGATTTTGTGTTTACCTCAACTCTTTTTAGTCTCAGAATGAGTGATTCAAGGGTGATGTAACAACTGTTCACAATGGAGCAAGGTAGCACAAGGGCGTTAAGTGATGAGGTTTTCCTTCAAAAGTTAACACCCCGCTAACCATGTGTGTAACATCAATATTTAATAAAAGCATACTCTTTGAACCGTACATTTGAAATTCTAATGGCTATTTTTTCCTGTTCAGACAAATGTTATATTTCATTTATACGAGTGCTGCCGTTGCATCACAAACTACAGGCGTGTCTGATGTGGTCTTGGAGGTGCACTGGAAAAATGGCAGGGCTCAAATAATGGCTGAACAAACAGAAAAGGCAAGACAGGCACCTGAAGGCAGTCCTATTGCATGAACACATCAGTGCAAGTCAAAGTTTTCCTGCCCATTGTGTCTCTAAATTTGAAAACAGTTAAAGGGAAGCATCCTTTTCAGAAACATTACAATGCACTGTTTGTTTTTCTGTTTGCAAGATTTTGACTCTCGGTCAGTGACCATTTGAGTGTCTGACACCTAGCATCTTTCTTGGTGGTGTTTTAATCCGAACCCGAGATCTTAGCAAAAGCATTATAAGATTGACTGGAATTAAAGAACAGCAGCACCTGTGTGAGGTTTTCAAATGCACTTCAAAGGAGTCACTTTATCTATGTAATGTACCATTTTCTTTGTTCAAATTAAGTTTAACAGGTTGAGTATTGCTAATCCATGAGGATTTTTTTCGTATATGTGTGGTAGAACGTAGATATGCTCCACAATCTCTCTTTGATGGTTCAATCTAATGATCGTGGTTTACAAGAGGCATTTTCAGGCATCACTTATTTAACACTGATCGCTTCAACAACCTGTAAAGATAATAGCACTCAGTCATTTTGACATGGGTGACTTTTGCACTAATGTTTCTCACGCTTCACTCAGAACTGCCCGTGAAATTGATGGAAAAGACCCATCGTATACATTTGTCATTCACAAGTATATATATATATAGCAATTTTGTAGCAGCTTTTACAAAAAACAAAAACAGTGAATTTATTATACCGGGTTATTACACAGTGTCAGTTATGCAGTGATGCTGGAAAGCATGGCAATGGATAGAAGCAGATACAAATATTCTTAATATGTTTGGGCTATTAAGCAGTGAGGGTGTTATTTACTTGTGAGGTTCTAATTGCAGTAGTGTAACAACAATGTGAGCAACATCAGCCAGAAGTGAAGTACTTTACCTGAGGACACCCTCTCCTGTCCAGTGCCTTTTGAGAGATGAGAGGCAGCAGCATCAAACGAAACTCAATCCCTGTGCAATGAAAGGTTTACACATCTTTTCCCACATCTTTTTGGTATGAAAATTCACCAAAACCTAAGAGCTTCATTGCAGTGTTCTAAACAAGACAAATTTAGATGGACTGTTTACACTTTTCTCTCAATCATCTCGATCATTTTAGACACTGAGGAAATGTGTATGGTTGCAGTATGATTGCATGATGTTGTTTAAGATCAAGATTAGATTATTTTAGTATTTTTATCCTTATATTAAAGTAGTGAGGCCCTGCATATCTAATTTCACTACAGTTTTGTCATCTACTTGGATTTATTAACTTATTTCAGTGCATTTATTTATATTCATATCAAATTAAAATTTGCATTCATATATAATAATTTGTTAATGCATTGGAGCAGCAGATACTTGAATTGTGTCAGTATTCTAGTAATACAAACAATCACTCAGGCACTCTTTCTCCCCCACTGCTCGGTAGCCTCTCTAATGACCAAACTCTGCTGAGGGAAGGCACTGCTGGCCTAACGCTAAAACTCCTATCACAAAAGGGCTCAAAGAATGGTTCCCTCGAAACTCTCCCTCTCCTTAATCTGCCTCTTCCTGTCTTAGCCTGAGAGATAAAAGGCATCGGAAGGAAACTTGGACAGCTGCCAGTAAGAGTGGAAGAGTTGTACAAGGTTACACACAGTAGATGGAGTACTTGGAAAAAGAAGCGTGACTACAGGCATGTATCTGTGAGGGGTGCAAAAGAAGGGTGCTGCATCATCTTCATCTGTCTGAATGATCTCCTTAATGCCAGTCATCCCCTCTAAATCTCTGTATGGGGGTTAAACAGGGATTTAGTAAAAACTGTAGCAGCCCTTAAATACTCTTGGTCCATCTCGAAAGAGTTTTGCTCTCCAGAAGACTTTATCTGTCAGATTTGTATTCAACTCCTGACTTATAACCATCAACTAGTTTTAAATATGAAACGAAAGAGTTTTTCTTGAACCAGGAATGGTAATAAAAAGGCGTAGGGGAGACTATATACGAGAGGAAGCTGGCGAACCTGGAGAGAACCCATGCTGACTTGTCCATATTTGATCTTATTTATGTTCAAGTGATCGGATTCTGTTTATATGGCCTTGTCGTTTTAGAATGAGACTCTCAATCTGGTTAATATAACAATATATCTGTGAATGTGAATATAGAATAGATTATACATTTCTCAATGCCAAGTCAACAATGCATCAAGAGGACATTCTGTCCCAGAAGTAGGTCTTTGCTGCCCTGATAACCTCAGCTAGGATCAGTGAAATCATGTGAAAAATGTTGTGTACACATTTGCATCAGGATGATTAAAATGTGAGTAAAAGCTCCCTGAAGGGCCAATCAAAAACTTTGACCATATGGTGAAATTAGCTATTTTCCAAAACAAGTATGGTCCTTAGGTAAGTTCTAGTAAACACCCATACAGAGTTAGGAATGCATTAGCAGAGTCAGAGTCTACACGAAGAGGCTGCTTGAATGCTGTGAGGAGAAGTTGGCTGGGTTGTGAATGATGCAACTTGTCCATAGTGTTATAACATGCATATCCAACTTAAAGTGACCATCTGGGACTGTCACTCCAACAGCAATGGTTGCCTGTAGCTGAACTATCAGTAAAGTGTGAACTCCATTGTCATGATTTGTTTGTCTTTTTTTTGGGTGGCGCAATACGTACTTTTACAGTCAATGATGCCCAATTCCAAAGTTTTGGGTTTGAGTTTTGACCCTCAAATTATTCACTGTTGAAATAGTATCTGTTCCAAAGTCGATAAGGGTAAAAGATATAGACTAACCCCAACCCAAGAGGAGGGAAATGTGTCCAGTGCTCAGATAGGAGTCATCATCTTTCAGTCTTTTTTGTTAGGTTCCTGTTATGTTATAAGATGGAGGAACTGTTTGCTTTTTTAGTCTTTGATCAATTAAACTTAATATAATCTCAGATTCAAATCCGTCCCCAAGTTAATGCCTGTTTATGCTAATATAAAGGCATGAGGCTGAATGGCCATGTGCACAAACATCTAGCATTCTTTTAAGATACCTAAATGCATCTGATTAAATCAAAGCTATTGGAGAGTTGTGAAGGGGTCAAATGTGTTAATTATGAAAGGCCATGGCATTTTTTTGTTCTCCTAATGAAACAAATCATGATTAAAAGCCTATTTTGTGAGAATTTGAATCATTTTAATTATCACCAATGAGCCATACCTCACCAGCTGCTCATTGTTTGGGACACATGCTCATGAGGCTGTTATTTCAGAAGAAAGAATGGTCTGCCTCTTCTTGAAAGCGAGGAAACACATTTGTTAAGTGGTTTTGGAAGTCATATATGAGTTGCACATTTATAGAGGCAGGTGAGGTATGTGAATATATCCTATGAGAGTCCTTGAAGACACATATCTGTGCAGTCTGTTGCACTGATGGTGCTGGTAGACCAGCAGTAGAATTGAATCTCTTGACTATGACTTGTTCTTTAGCAGTTTATGGAAACTTCCTGAACTGGTTGGCTAACTGATTGATTGATATGCCCATTGAATCTAACAGCTGTTGGTGGAGTGTTCCAGAGTCAAGAATTTCTGGTGGAAGAAGGTTGGGCTGTTGTGAATGACTCTGCAGTGTCAGTTCCAAACAATTACAAAAGCTCCTGGGAACCAACAACCCATGGGTTTGTTTGGGGGAGGACGGTGACAAAATGTAGCTCCATCTTATCTCTTAGTGGCAGATCAGAGGAGGGATTTATTGAGTTTTCTTCTTGCAGTATTTATGCTAATTTCAAAACATGGATGGCCACCAATTCTCTGTGGTCTTGAGAAGTTTTTCTCAGTATTAAATGAACGAAGAGGCGGAGGTACAAACATGACCCCCCTGTCCTCCCCCCCCCTTCTCTCCTCGCCTGGATGGTTTTGCTAAGTCTCTATGAGGACTCTATCAGTGCTACCCGGCAATTAAGATCTCTCAGATCAAAGCAGCCTAAATGAGCTAATCCTCAGAGAACTGCTGCTCCATGCTCCTCTGTCTGTCTCTTTCTTTCCATTTCTGTCTCTCCCTCACCCTAGTTACTTCCTCTTGACTCTTGGCACCATGCGCCGGCGAGGCTTTGATGCTCTCCATCAGTGGGCATTCTAAATGTAAAATGATGAATAAACATGTGTTAATGGCTCACACTTTTCTATCCTTAATGCCAATTTGCGCCGGCTGGGGAGCATATTTTCAAATGTCTTAAGATGTAATTGAGGATGATGAATCTGTAGCAACTCACTGTGGTGCCTTAATAAATTGCAACTGAAAAAGAACGGCCAACACAAACTTATGAAGGTTGTATCAGCACACAGATTTTGTACAATGTTTGGTTTATTAATATGTGTCCGCCTGCATTAAAACATATGGCGCGACAAGCCCACTGTGAGTGTAGTGAGTTGGAACAGGCAATGGCATGAAAGCAAGTCACAGCTTTGAGGTCAATAGTTGTTCAAAGGAGCGTGACGCTGCTAGCTGCTTAGTAGGACAGTCATTATCATTGAAAAACCCAAGCATCTGCCTGTGACTCCTGGGGACAGGTTTAACAAGGTGGTGCTGCTTGTCATGGGGGTCTCTTTGGCAGTACATGCCATTCTCTCTCCCTTTTACCCGGTCTTTTTTTTTTTCCAAATGTCTTTCTTTTTTTCCTACAGTCCCCTCTCCGATGTCTGTTGGGGATTTCATGTTTGCTGCTGCCACTTCCGATCAGGGAACCATTGTTTCATGGCAGCCTTTTATGATGAGAGGCTTCTGTCACCTGTTTTTTTTTCTTCTCCCCACTGTAACTTGATTCTCTTTGTTTTTTGTGCCCCCTTGTCTGCCTTTACTCTGTCTCTC